TGGAGGAGGACTGTGTGGGTCAGAGAAATGTATCCTCAGACGACTTTCCCAACTCCTCTTCGTGGATGGGGTGCTCCTTCCCTCTAGCCCTAGTCCTGCTGGCTGGGGGTTCTTACCCGGGCCTTCTGCAATTTCCTGGCTTCTTTTTCACCGCGCCAAATCCCACCCAAGCTCCGGGGGTCAGCTTGAGATGCTTCACCCAGAGGGGCCGCCACACAGCTCCCAGAGGGCTTCTAAACCAGAGGCACAGTTCTGCAAGGGTTTTCAGTGGCTTTCTTGCCTTGCCCATTGATTAGAAGCAATCTGAAGACCTGAAATGCATCTCTTCTCCCTCCTTTCCACAACTACAGAGCACACACACATACACACACGCACACAGAGGCTATCACAGAACTGGGCTCGTAGTCTCCTCAATCATTAACCTTATTGTTACTCACCAACTCCTAGGGCTGGTTTGAGGCACATTTTAGCCTCACACAAATCTGTCTGCATCAAGGCTTTGCCACCTCCTTTTGTTGTGTGACCCTGGGGAAGTTGCTTGACCTCTCAAAGTGTTACTTTCCTCATTTGTATGTTGGGAATAGTGCATGGCCCTTCGTAGGAATGTGGCAAAAGATAGTCGTTAATGATGATTATTGCTGTTGCCCCCGAGACCTGGCGAGATCAGATGGTTCCCAGAACCCAGGGCTGCGTTTCCATTTTTCTTCCCTTTTAATTTGGTCATCTTCTCCTCCCATCTGCCTCCTTCTGTTTTGTTCTCTTTGGGTCTTTCCTGTCCCCCTTGATGGGTCCTGCCTGCTTTCTTCCTCCAGGCCAGCTGTCCCCTCTCCCCTCCGAGAGCACGAGAGCACGTTGGTGGCTGGCTCTCACTAGGTAAGGGTTGTCTGTTCGCCTTGCTTTCCATCAGTCAATAAAGATAAATTACAAAATCATTTGTTTTATTTGTTCTTGTTACCTTGAGGGCTGTCTGAAACTGCCTTTCTTTAGAAAGCCCTATTTGCATATCTCCACACTGGTGTCAAAGGCTGCAGCTGTGGTTTCACTGCAATTTAAATATTAATAAAATCTCTAGCTGGTTTTTTAAAGCAGTCTGGCCCTTCTGCTCCTTGGCTGCTAATATAATTTAATCTCTGTCCTTTGCTTTGTATTTATTTAACGGGCCATTTTGGAGTCAACTGAAGCCAACTGCTGCAACCTTGTAGATAAGAACCACTAACTAGCCCATAAACCCTCGTTTTCCTTAAGAGGTCCAAGAGCCACCACTCCCGGAGACAAAATAGACCTCAGGTAACATTGTATACCAATCCGCAGCCCCTTACACTAAGCCAGTGGGTCTCAAACATGAGCTGGCTTCAGAATCCGATGGCTGGGCCCCACTCCCCGGTTTCTGACTCAGTATTTTGGGAGCGAGGCCCTGGATTCTGCACAGCGAACAAGTTCCTAGTGGTGCGAACAAGTTCCTAGTGGTGCGGTTACTCCCCACCCTCGTTCCCCACCAGGGGATCCCGGTTTGAGAATCCCTGCACTAAGCCGCTGGTATAACTGCCTTAGCATTCTGGGTCCCTGAAACGAGGTCTCTGGAGTTCATGTGTGCCAGTCCTCATGGCTCGCAGGGAGCCTCTCCAGTTCTCCGTTCCTTCCAGGCCCTCCAACCCTTGCTTGGATTTGCCTGATCATTCGGACTCATTTCAGGATCAGCCCCCTTGCATCTCCCCAGGGCTGCTCCCTGCAGGAGCTGGCGGTCTCCAGTTCTCCTTAAATTTCTATTTGCCCAGATTCATCTCTCTAATTTTCTCCTTGTTATGGGCAGATTTACAGGCTGTGTGAGAGAGCCAAACTAAGCATCACTGAAGTATGGGAACAGTGCCTCTGGCTCAGCCATTCCACAGCCTTTGACAAGCAAGCTCCCTGTGTCTCTGGCTAGCAAGCCCTCTTCTCTTGGGTTTCTAAAGTGGGTAGATCTGTAGCTCCCCTCACGCTGCCTTCCTCCCCGCACCGCCTGCCTCTGGGGCCCTGCTTATCTGCTCCTCGCAGCTTTCATAGGAGACGTTCTGGGCAGCTTGGTTCCTTCCGCTCCAACCAGCCCAACACTGATTTCTTTCTTTTTCTTCTGCATGTTTTTGAGCCGATACTTTGTTGATGATTCGGGATGCATTTTTTTAGGGGAGAGATAATCTATGAAGCTCTTCCCTAGGCCCTGTCCCTGCACCTGCATGATAATCCCTCCTCTTCTCTTGCCTTTCCAGCTCCTTTGCAGAAATTCATTTGTGAGATGAGATAATGGCAGCACAGGAACTAGTTCCCCAAATGCTTATGTGCCCAGAGAGGGTTAGGTTGTGGGATGGAGAAGTGAGAGGCCATCTTAAAGCCAGAAGTCAAAGGAACAAGTAGATTTGCTCCATCATCAGGTAACTTTTTTTTTTTTTTTTTTTTAATTTTTATTTATTTTATTTTTATTTTTAGGAGAGAGAGAGACAACATGAGCAGGGGAGGGTCAGAGAGAGAGGGAGTCACAGACTGAAACAGGATCCAGGCTCTGAGCTGGCAGTCAGCACAGAGCCGGACGCGGGGCTCGAACCCATGAACCGTGAGATCATGACCTAAGCGAAAGTCAGACGCTTAACCAACTAAGCCACCTAGGCGCCCCAGGTAACTTTTTTTTTTAACTTTAATGTTTATTCATTTTTGAGAGAGAAAGACAAGAGTGCGACCAGGGGAGGGGCAGAGAAGGAGGGAGGGCACAGAATCCGAAGCAGGCTCTACACGCTGAGCTGTCAGCACAGAGCTCAGACATGTGGCTCAAACTCATGAGCTGTGAGATCAAGACCTGAGCTGAAGGGGGACGCTTAACTGAGCCACCCAGACGCCCCCAGATTAGACTCTTAAACCCAGCTAAGCATCATGAGGCCAGGGCCAGGAGATGGCTTCCAGGAAAGGTATGCAGAGTTCAAAAAACAGATGGGGGGGGGCGGTGCGCGGTTATGTTAGGCGACCTCAAGAGATCATTACAGAAAACTTTTATGTGTCTCAGTCATCCCTGCTTTCCCCCAAGATTCTACTTGGATGCGGCTTTTCTACCAGCCTGTGAGTGGCTGGACACCCCCAGGGTCCAGTACACCACGACTTGTCACTGGAAATGAGACATCGGTGACTGAAGACTGGGCCAATACCACTTGCTTCCACCTACCCTTAGGTTACCTAGACCCAGGGACCCCTTGGTAGGCTGGCCTGAACCATGGAGACGTGGTGCCATATGTGAGGATGGACTGGAAGTTTTTATTTTATTTTTTTGTGATTTTATTTTTAAGTCATCTCCACACCCAATGTGGGGCTCAAACTCACAATCCAGAGATCAAGAGTCGAATGCTTCACCGACTGAGCCAGCTAGGCGCCCCTGAACTGGGAGGCTTTAATCACTGAAAGATAAGCAATCTTAAGGCGCAGGCTGGATGGAGGTGGAAACAGGTAGCCATGAGCGATCCTGTCAGTCCTCCTTTGCCAAGGCACAGCTGCCGCTGGGAGGCAGGAACATTCTCCTGCCTCTGACCAGGGGCAGTGACTGATGTGGGTGGCCATGGGTTCAGATTTCCAGACTGTCACTTACTAGCTGTGCAAACTCTGAGCAAAATCTTCTATTTCCCATTCTCCTTCTTCAGGCGAGGTGACAAATACCGACTTCTTGGGCTGCGATGAAGGCTCCATATGATAAACATGTCATAAGGCCAGTTTATTTTCTCCACTCTCCCCTTACCCACCCAACCCTGTTTACAAATGTGGCAGTGCTGAATCGTGTGAGGATTTCATTCTCTTTGCCTCTAAGAGGATCTTAACCTCTGAACATGTGAAGACCAAAACATGATGATACAGATACTTATCTTCGGATTACGTATGTTAAATAGGAGTGGTTGTCAGAAATCTCAAGATACCCTCCCCAGATTCCTGTCCCCTAATCTAGGTCCTGCTGTGAAGGGGTTCTGCAGCTGCGATTAAGGTTATGGACTTTAAGATATAGAGATCACACTGGATTACCTGGTGGGCACGATCTAATCACCTGAGCCCTTAAAAACAGAAATTTCTCAGGGCTCCTGAGTGGCTCAGTCAGTTAAGCATCAGACTCGATTTTGGCTTAGATGACAATCTCACAGTTTGTGGGATTGAGCCCTGCATCAGGCTCTGTGCTGGCAGCGTGGAGCCTGCTTGGGCTTTTCTCTCTCCCACTTTCTCTGCCTCTCCCCTGCTTGTACTATCTCTCTCTCCCTCTTGAAATTAATAATCATTAAGAAAAAAACTCAGAGGGGGGCCTGGGTGGTTCAGTCAGTTAAGCGACCGCCTTCGGCTGAGGTCATGATCTCACGGCTCGTGGATTCAAGCCCCGCAATGGACTCTGTGCTGACAGCTCAGAGCCTGAAGCCTGCTTCGGATTCTGTGTCTCCCTCTTTCCCTGCTCCTCTACTCACACTCTGTCTCTCTCAAAAATAGATAAACATTAAAAATTCTCTGGCAGTTAGATCTGGCAGTCAGAGAGATGAGGAAGGGGAAGTCAGAGAGACTCCAAACATGAGAAAGCTTTGGCCCCTGTTTCTGGCTTTGAAGATGGAGGTAGGGGCTCAGGAGTCTAGGAATGTGGGAGAAGCTAAGGATGACCTCTGGTCAACAGCCCATAATTAAACAAGGATCTCAGTCCCACAATTGCAAGGAAAAATCTGGCCAACAATATGAAATGAGCTTTGAAGTCGATTCATCCCCAGAGCCTCTAGATAGAAACACAGCCTTGCTGCCTTGATTTTGGCCTTGTAAAACATATCAGTTGAGCCAACTCGGCTTTCTGACCTACAGAACTGTGAGATAATAAATTGATGTTATTTTAAGCCACTAGATTTGTGACAATTTGCAATGGCAGCAATAGAAAATACAAGAGGTACCAAAGTCCCCTTGATAATGCTAAAAGTTGGTACTAGGGCCTGAGCAAGTCTGTAGCTATAAGTGTCAAGGAGTCAGGCTCGGTGAAAAGTGAAAGCAAGTTTATTTGCAGGTGAACAGCAACAACATTTACAAAACCTATTTTGTACAGTCAAGTCTGCACTGCCCTCACACACTAGGGGGCTAAGGAAGACCTAGTCCTTCCAACAGCTATAAACAGGCCTGGATAATGAGTTTATGAAAAACACTTTCTCTTCCTTCAGCACACAAAATTATTTATGAAGCTGTACAGTTCGGCAATAGGAAGCAAAGAGAAGAAAATTACCTCAAGGAAAGCAACAGCTCCTTTCCTGGTGGGAGACGTCATTTTACAGACATGAAATATTCCTATCAGAGATCTTATATTCCAAGAAGAATGAGTGATGGTTCAGAGCTACAACAATAAACAATGCATTTATTTCTAATGGGGGAATGAGAAGACCCTCTTTGGACATCGGTTCTTGAAAAGACTCTGGTACTTCAGAGCATAGCAGTGCTAAGAACTCTTTAGAAATCTGGATTTCTAAAGGGCAGGATGATTCCCCTCTCCTCTAACCTTCAGGGTTCATGTTTATATCCATCACCTGCCTCCGAGTCCCCCCAGCCCCCCCCCCCCATGCTCCACTCCAACATCTGAGAGCCGTCCAAGGGCTGTCCTGATTTTAAGTCATATCACAGATTCCTCAAGTACTTGCCTTCCACTGAAGGGTCTCACTTTTGGCCTTATGAACACAGGATTTTAGAGAAGCAAACTTAGGGAGCCCAGCTATTCTCCTGAGGCCAGCCGTTCTGTGCCTCCAGCTCTAAGGCAACATCCCCAGTACGAAGAATAGGGCTGATAAATAATGAATCAGCATCTTGCGCAATTGGTGGGGTTTAAATGGTTTTACATTCTTTTCAGGTGAAAAATTACCACAATTTTGTGCTCATGGTAGATTTCAAAGGGAGACTCGAAGCAGAAAATCTTTAAGGGCCCCTTGCATAGCCACAATTTCTTCTCAGGCTGACGTACATAAAATATTCAGTAACAGGGACTGTGGGGAGACTGAAGAGGAGCTCCTAGGGCCTGGAAAACGGCTGCTTCTTACCATCATTCTCGGGGTCCTGTGGCGACAGGCCCTATACGCTACACACATGGCTGACTGAGGCCAGCAGTAGCTCTGGGAATCTGGGGGATCAGGTAGGTGTCCAGCTCCTGGCACTGGTAGAGGGCTACACTGTCCAATACCCACTCTCGGGTCACCACAGGCGCCTCACACATCTGCCCAATCGCTGGGGACAGAGAACACAAGCAGAAATTAGTCAATTCACATTTTCCCAGGCCAGACTCTTGTCCGTCTACTCTTGAGGATGTGGCTGTATGAGTTCAGAGGGCTACTCAGGTAGGTGCAAAACCGGTGATCTTAAGTAACGCTTCAGGACACAGGACCTCATTTAGAAGCCGGAGGATGGACTGCTGGTGAAAGCCTACAGCCTCTGGCAACTTTAGTAACATGAGCTCCAATCTGTTACTGGAAGTCACCAGAGAGCAAAACAGCATTGCAATTTAATGGTTTTGCAACATCTTAGGAGAAAAAGCAAAACAGATGATGAGCATGATCACATCTGTGTGAAATATATGTATGTACATATTGTGTTCAATTATCTTTTATGTGATGAACATTAATATTTAGCCTCCACCAATGGAAATAGTTCATGTCTTACTTTTATAACACAAAAGAAAACACAAAAACTTTTAAAAGGACATTTTAGATATGCATGCATGCATTCATTCCTTCATTCAAATATTGATTGAGCACCTAGAAGGTACTGAGAACTGTGTTAAACAAACACTGGGTGACCTGTGGTGACCCAAACACATCACACAGGACCCCATATGTCATGGACGCATGCCTATGGCCTTCTAAAACCCCACACAGGTGCACCATCTACTTCAGTTGATCAAATCAGGACATTTAGACCTAAAAGCACGATAGTCTTCATACTTAACCCTGGGCCCAGCAACCCATACTCCTCTGGACAAAGGCTTATAGCAAGACTTACCATGGAAGCTACTGTCCTCTGTCCAGGCGTCCGGTTGCACGACCACAACTGCGTGAGTACCCTGCATCCCCAGGAAGGAAATAGCATTGAGGGTATCAGAGCAGGGCTTCTGGAACAGTTGCTTCACCATTTCTTGATGGTTTGCGAAAGCAGACTAGCTTAGGTGGGACCTCAGAAAGGAGGGGGATGGGCACATGGCAAAAAGGAAGGGTTGGAGGGAGAGCCTTCCCTCAATAAATTAAACACTTGGAGAACTCAAGCCCTTCCTCATCCTCCACAGACGGCGTCTTCTGGCGACTGGTACATGGTCAGAGAAGACTCGGGACAAAGAGAGGCTTCTGAGGTCCACTGGCAGGGTTTGTAGGGACTGATGGGTAACCAACCAGCCTTGCTCAATCATAGGACAGATATCTGGCGGGCATCAAACACTTACCTTGCTGAGAGTGAATAACGAAGGCTTCTTCACCACAGAAGCCCCACAGAGGCTCACCATCCACTCTAGTTGATCTAAATGGCACATGCAGACCTAAAATCACCACAGGACTCTACACACTTAACCTGTGCCTCCTACCCCATGCTCCTCTGGATGAAGGCTTACAGCGAGACTTCTCAGTGGGAGAGTCTCCATCTCTCTGCTCCAAAAGGACAGAGAGGCCTTGACCTAGAATCTATACCAGGTATGGATTCTAAGTCAATTTGCCACCAATATGCTACCTACTCTGGTTATCAGTCCCCAGAAGGCCACTTGGTAGATAAGGTTTGACAGTCTCTCAAACAAAACACTTTAGAGGAAAAGAATCCAAGATCTAATTTCCCTTAATTTGCTTAAATTGCTGGCTAAGATACTGTGAAAAAATGTTCACTTGCCTTCCCTCCCTCCCTGCCTAATTCTGTGCTGGTAATTGATAATCACGGCCACTGAGAGCACCATACTGGTGGTAATTACTGTAAATGTCAAGAGACAGAAAGATAATTCATTCAGTAAAAAAAAAAACACACACACATCATCCTGGACAGAGACTCAGCACATCAGTGGAGAAGGGCTATGTGCTGAGGCGGAATTGACACATTTAGGGAGCAGAAACCACAAGGGCTTGTACAGATGTTCCCCTTGCATCTGGAAAATCAGCAGAACGGATCAATGCATGGCTTCTGGGCCTCTCTGGGTGCTCTTTTTCATCAGCCCATTTCTGGGTATCGCTGAGACATTCCTATTTTTCTGAGTGAACTGAGGTCACCTGACTCATCTCCAAAATGATACCTGCTAGGGACCTGATTTTCATTACACCAAAGTACAGAAACACTGAGAAATCCTCAAGTGGCACTTGGAAATTTCATAAAAATCCAATCAATAACCAATAAAGAAGACAGAAGCAAAATTACTTTGCCAGGCCCTCTTGGGGCCGCTCATCTGTCCCTGACCAGATGCCAAGGCCATCTTCTGAGGAGCAAGAGAACCTGATCCCTGAGGTGGAAGGGGCACAGAAGCAAAGGTGGGTGGACTTTGTTTTGAAGAGAACAAACCAAATCTATACACACACCAGGGGCTCTCTGCTCCACAACCGCAGAGTTGAGCCCCACAGCACTCCTAAACATAACATCACATTCAATGTCAAAGTTAATTAGAAAATGTTCATCCAGAGTCTTCCCCTACTTGCTCTGGGCCTGTGTGGGGTCCCAGGCCCACAGGGCTTATGCAGCTGCTATGTTTGCTTCTTAGTATCAAATGAAGATGGTTTAGGAAGAGTAGAATTCCTTCTTAACATTTGCAAACCTGAAAGGTATCTTCTCCCTAACTTATGACTTCCCTCCTTTCTTAAACCACAGGGCAAGAAGGGTAGCTCTACCCAACCTGAGCATAGAACACTGCATCCTAGAACCTAACTTTTCACTGACTTCTCTCAGGAAGGGGCACAGGCCCGGTTTTTTGCCACAGGGTAATGTTTAAGTGCAGTTTTGCCTGATGAGTGGTAGAGAAATAGAATAACCTCTAGAGCTGAGTGAACTGAGGTCAACTGACTCATCTCTAAAATGATACCTGTTAGAGACTTGGTTTTCATTACACCAAAGTACAAAAACACTGAGAAATCCTCAAGTGGCACTTGGAAATTTCATAAAAATCCAATCAATAACCAATAAAGAAGACAGAAACAAAATTACTTTGCCAGGCCCTCTTGGGGCCGCTCATCTGTCTCTCACCAGTCTGAGGAACCCCCTTAAGATGGCCCCTCCCATAACACTTCACCATGTAAGGGAAAGGCTGGTGCCGGACTCGGCACTTCTCCCGGTCTCTTACCTGTGGGCATGTTGGTAAAGGGCCCGTAGCAACAGATTTCTAGGCCCTTGAAGATCTGGGAGAAGAGTGGCACAGAGGGAAGGAGAGAAAGAAACACCATAAGTGTATGCATTTTATAAAAAACAACATAAAGAGACTCTCAAAAATGAAGGACTTTTGGGGCGCCTGGGTGGCTCAGTTAGTTGAGCATCCGACTTCGGCTCAGGTGATGATCTCATGGTTGGTAGGTTCGAGTCCCACAACGGGCTCTGTGCTGACAGCTAGCTCAGAGCCTGAAAACTGCTTCAGATTCTGGGTCTCTCTCTCTCAGAAAAAAACAAAACAAACAAACAAAAAACATTTTAAAAATTTAAATAAAGAAAATGAAGGACTTTCTTTTTTCTTTACTATCTGATAATTTCTACTATGTCCCGGAGACAATCAGTACAATGTCAGAACATGGATGGATTTTAGAAGACCTTTTTAAAGTGTGTATGTAAAAATAATAATAATAATAATAATTAAAAAACCAGAAGTGCGTATGTAGCTGATGTACCCTACAGTCACTCTGTGTTATTCAGAGGCTGAGCTTTCCACTTCGCCACCAATCAGGCCCAGGCTCCTTCCTGGTGACTTCATTTTTTGTTAGAGACCAAAAAACCTGGACCTTCTTTATATTAAATAAAAGGCTTGGATGGCTAGAGATTCAAGCTATTAGCTGCAGTTGGATGCTTTTACCCAGACTTGGCACATCAATACCAACCGTCATTCTAACTGTCAGAGAAGTCTATGTTGATGTTACATGCTCTTTTTCTCCTCTCACTTCTGGTCTCGGAACATCCATTCCTGCCTTCACACAGCTTTAAGAATGGCCATTGTTCCTTTAGGTAACCTAAACTGTTTTTAATCTAGAAGCTAATCTAATCTAGAAATGAAGCCTGGTTCTGCCTATCCTCATTGAGCTGACCTGACGGCCTGGTTTTCAGGAGACACAGATTACACTGTCCCTTCAAGATGCCTCTTCCACTCACATACAGTGCTGGCTAGCACTGTCCAAAAGAACTTTCTATGATGAAGGAAATGTTCTATATTTGTGTTAATAAGGTTTCCACAAGTCACATGTAGCTACCGAGCTCTTGAAATGTGGTTACGGTGGGTGAGGAACTAAACCTCCTATTTTGTTTAATTTTAGTTGTCAAAATTAGAAAACAGCCTCATGTGGCTGGTGGCTACGGTGCTGGGACAGGCAAATTTTTACCCAGGAACTGATACAGGTTCTTAGGCACAAGCTCGAGCATATCATTTATTTTTTTTATTTTTATTTTTTTTTAATTTTATTTCTAGGAGAGAAAGAGAGAGAGACAGCGTGAGCAGGGTAGGGTCAGAGAGAGAGGGAGTCACAAACAGTCTCCAGGCTCTGAGCTGGCAGTCAGCACAGAGCCCGACGCGGGGCTCGAACCCACGAACCGCGAGATCATGACCTAAGCGAAAGTCGGACGCTTAACCGACTAAGCCACCCAGGCGCCCCTCGAGCATATCATTTAAAAGAAATCTAAAGTTGTGTCAGTTGGCTGGATAGATATCTGGGTAACCATCATTCTCTTGACCCTCTTTCTCCCCATTCCACTAAAAAGATTGCCTAGGCCTGGAACTCACCTTGTTTAGATAAAAGAGACAGGGGTACAGAAAACTCAGGAGCTAAATACTCATCATGGTCTTTTAGGAAATGAGCCTCCCCATCCCCATTTTAACTACAATCAAAGGAATAAGAACAGCAGGACAAGTCTGTTTCTGTTTTAAGTGACAGCCTCCATATATGCCATTCTCAGTATCTATACGAATACACTGCATCCCCAACCTGTTGACAGATGCTCATAATGCTAAAAGCTGTCCCCAAGCAGCCGCCTAGAGCTAAACATTGCTGTAAAAAGTACAAAAGATTAGGAATTTTTGTATCCAAGCTGACACTCACTGATGAGGGTGGCTAGTTATGAGATGAGTTAAGAAATCTCAAGTTTAACTTCTACAACTATAAATGCATTTCTCTTCCACAGGAAAATACTACGGTGACATTTAGTGTCTTCAGAATGTCATTACTTTGACCAGGCACTTTCCATCATTGCCATCCCAAATTTAGGAAAAACTCCCAAACGCTGGAATTTGCTTTGAAGGAGGAAGAATCTGGTGCTAACTCGGCCTTGTGTACAGTGGAATAAAAACAAATGGCTGGCTCACACAGAACTCCCCTGGGGTGAAGGCAGAAGCAGAAAAAGGGCCAATAGCTTTCCATGGCATCTGGAAGTTACTTGATAGCCTCAGAGGTTGGGGGGTGGGCTGACCTCAAGGGTTCAGAGCTCTCCTAAAGCAGTTTTCCCTGGAAAATCACCTCTACTGGTTCTTTCTCAAGTTCTATAAAGGGACAGACAGTGCTCTGTACGGGGATGTTCTAAAATGCCCATTTAAAAAATGAAGAAAAAGGGGTGCCGGGGTGGCTCAATCGGTTGGGCAGCCTACTTCAGCTCAGGTTATGATCTCACGGTTCGTGGGTTTGAGCCCCACATCGGGCTCTGTGCTGACAGCTAGCTCAGAGTCTGGAGCCTGTTGCAGATTCTGTGTCTCCCTCTCTCTCTGATCTTCCCCTTCTCACGCTGTCTCTCTCTCAGAAATAAATAAAATGTTAAAAATTTAAAAAAAAAAATAAAAAAGGAAGAAAAAAAGGCAAACTTTTAAAAAAGGAAGAAATGCAGACTAGGCATGTAAGTGTTCAGCCAGTGACCTGAGAAAGCATCTGGTTCAGGCCTGACAAGGCAGGTGAGAAACCTTGCTTGGACTTCTCCCTGACAGAGAGACAAGGCTTTGGCTCCCTCATCTGCTACAGTGTGATCTGGGAAAAAATCACGGAGTCTTCCTGGGCCTCTAGCCCTTCATTTGTGAAGTTGTTAGAATACCCTATTTTTTTCCTCTGTGAAGTCTATAACTTTCCAAGAAACTATGGTAGTGTATATTTTAAAAAGATTTTTTAAAAAGTATTTGTTTGTTTAAGTAATCTCTGTACCCAACATGGGGCTTGAACTCATGACCCCAAGTTCAAAAGTTGCATGACAGACACCCCTAGTACTGTTTCTTTTTAAGACTTAAAAAAAGTTTATTCGCTTATTTTTGAGAGAGACAGTGGAAATGCAGAAGGGGGCAGAGAAAGAGGGAGACAGAAAATCCCAAGCAGGCCCCACACTGTCACCACAGAGCATGATGCTGGGCTCAAACTCATGAAACTATGAGATCATGACTGAGCTGAAACCAAGAGTCAGACCCTCAACTGGCTGAGCCACCCAGGTGCCCCTCTTTTCTAAGATTTTATTAATTAATTAATTAATTAATTTATATTTGAGAGAGAGAGGAAGAGAGAGAGAAAGAGCACATGTGTGTGTGAGTGGGGTAGAGGGGCAGAGGGAGAGAGAAAGAATCTTAAGCAGGCTCCATGCTCAGTGCAGAGCCCAACACAGGGCTCAACCCCACAACCCTGGGATCATGACCTAAGCTGAAATCAAGAGTTGGATGCTCAACCGAGCCACCGGGTACTTCAAGATTTTATTTTATTTTTGTTTATTTGTGAGAGACAGAGAGGGGGAGAGAATAAACATGTGCAGGAGGGGTAGACAAAGGATCTAGATCCAAAGTGGGCTCCACACTGAGACAGCAGAGAGCCCAATGTGGGGCTTGAACTCCTGAACTGTGAGATCATGACCTTAGCCGACATCAGATGCTTAACTGACTGAGCCACCCAGGTGCCCCAAGATTCTACTTTTCTAAGTAATCTCTACACCCAACGTGGGACTCAAGCCTATAACCCCAAGATCAAGAGTCGCATGCTCCACGGAGTGACCAGCCACACATCTCAAGAAACTATGGTATTGTTAAGAGCTCAGATTCTGGAGTTTGACTGCATGTTTTCAACTAGTTATGGGTTTCCAACTAGCTCTGTGAGTTTGGGCAATTTACTCAACCACTCTGAGCTTTTAATTTTCTCACCTATAAAATAGGTATAATTATAGCACACACCTCAGGGCTACTGTAAAATTGTTAATGAGTTAAAATATGATCGAGTGTTTAGAGCAGACCCTGGCATACAGTGTATATTATAAAAAAGTTAGCTATTGATTATTGAACACTTTCTCTTCTGTGCTTCCACAGACAGCACTGTGTACATCCCCCTCATAGCAGTGACCACACTACCTTACAGGAAGACACCACGGTGAAGTGGAAAGAGCAAAGGCCTAAGATTCACATCTGTTTCAAATTCCAGCTCTGCCCCTTGTCAGCTGAGATTTGAATCCCAGACTGGAGTCCAAAGTACATAGTTTCTCTACACATCTAAGCTCCTTCATTCATGAAATGGAGATGATACTCATTTACCTTATTGGGCTAGGTATAAAGAACCTATATGGAAGTACCTAGCTAGAGTTCCAGCAAGTGAGTATCCAGTGCTCCTTACAGATGAATGAGACCATCTCCACCAAGGGGAGTGGAATGCAGAGGTGTGAGTGGGGTTTTTGTCAACAAGGCAGAGGGGGACTTTACCTTTCTGTCCCGGTATTCTCTTGCTCGCTTCGGACCCTGGTGGTTTCTTCCATTGACAACATCTCCTCTGACTTCAAAATCATGCTGGGAAAAAACCAACGCACACCAACAGGGATCAGAAAAAGAGAAACCTCCTTCAATGGAAGTGGAGTAGATAAGTCATATTAAGGAATTCAGTACTGCTGCAGAATTTTGACAACCCCACCCCTGCCCCCAAAAATCATTCTTTTTGGTGGACTGAATGAAATGATCAGCATCTCAGCTGCTGAAATTAATTCACTGAAGTAAATCTTTGTGGGCAGAAATTAACAATTGGCTTTTCACCTCATTGGGACTTAATGTACTTTAATTTTCAACATCTATCTCTTCTCAAAACATTCACTTAGCATTTAGATTAAACTGCTAATACTGTGCTGTTATAAAGATAACTGGAGAATTCCTGATCTCTTAAATCAACTGTGTATTACCATCTAAAGAAATAAAGGCTTCTCAGATTTCCACTAAGAGGTTTACAATTAATGAGACTAAAATGATAAAATATACATTTAACCCACTAAAGAAAGTTAGAAGCTTTTCATAACCACTGTTTTGACTGGTCAAGGACAAGGAAATAAAGAATAATGGGACTGGGGAGGTTAGAGCTTTTGGGAGAATTTGGGGAAGAATGCTTGGGAACAATTCTGACTGACACTTGATTGTAGGGAAGACAAAGTCATGAGTGTAACCATAGGCTGTTATTAGAGGAAAGAACACTTAACATTTCATAGTCACTTGAGTGAGAAGAGTCTAGTGCTAAAAATGTCATCTATTTGAAGCTGACCCTCAAATTCCTTGTCCTGACTGTGCCCCTGTGTTAACTTAAGCTCTCTACCTGGAAGTCTAATATACATCTCCAAATTCCTACAGTCTAAAACAGAGCTCTTAATTCTATTCATCCCCAACCCCCCCCCCCCCCCAAGATGCTCCTTCTCCACGTCTTCCTTATCTGATTTACTATTACTGGCATCCACTCTACTATTCAGGCCAAAACCCTAAGTGTTTGCCCCTCAAGGCCTCCCTTTAGCTCATCCTCCAAATTTAACCCTTTAGTAGGTCCTATCTCCAAACATAAATCAATCTCTTCTTCCCATCTCCATGCTTCCAATTACCCTACAAATAAAATTCAAATTCCTTACCATGACTTCCACCAAATCCTACCTGATCTGGCCCTTGTACGTGATCTTGTCCAACTCCTGGTCCAACCTCTGCCCTCTACCTATAATTTGCCAATTACTACTTTCCAGCTACAATGGCCTATTTTTCTTTAATAAACCAAACTCATTCCTACATCAAGACATTTATGCTTGCAGTTCTTCGGCCTGTTAACTTTTGTTCCCTACATTTTTCCAGGCCAGTTCTTTGTCTTTTAGGTCTCAGCTCAAGCTTTTCAGAAAGCTTTCCCTGGTCTCCATAAGTAGTGAACTTGTGTCCCCAGTCAGCTGCTAGTCTGTTGTTCTGTATTATTTCTCCATAGTATGTATATATGTATGTATGTATTTTTTATTATTTGGCTACTATCATTATTTTTTTACAGTTTTATTTCATAGTATTTATTGGTATTTTAAGTGCATCTTAAATTATTGTATGTCTCCCCTCAATAGAGCATGAATCCCACTGGAGCAGGGACCCAGCAGTCTTACCTACTGCTCTGTTCCTGGTGCCCATGACACTGTAGGCTCCCAACCATATTAGGTCACTGAACCAAAGTTAAAACCAACAAAATTCCATTTAATTAATTATAAATATGCTAAACAGTGCATACTAGCTTAAAACTGCTTTTGCTAATTTTATTTTGCCTGGTCTGTTGTTACCAGCAGTTCTCAGATGACTCTGTTCTAAAATGATTCTTCCTCCTACACTCTGTCTTATTTACCTCTCACTGTTCTTAGGATCATAAAGAGTAACATCTCTTTGAAGGAATCTGATTTTTAAGCAGATACATCTGCATATTAATATGAAAGGTTTCTCTTCAACAACAGTTTTCTACAAAGGTATATGAATGTAATATTCAGGTGAGCCTGTTTCTTAGGCTTACAGGTCTTTCTTTCTGCCCTATAAATTCCTTTTTCTTCCTCTGAAGAAAGGATTGTTTCTACTGACACTTAAACAAGTGAGTGAGAACGCAGAATTTCCTGCATAATTCTTGATGGTCCACATTGTCAAGGGAAGTCTTTGGAAAGCAGTAGAAAAAAAAGGAAACAGAAGTTTTCAGTGATTTTGTGACTTGGTGGCACCAAGTCTTTCTGATTAGTTTGTAACATCAAGTACCTACCTCATCTAGCATCTTTCTTTCTTTAAGGGACTGGGTCACCCCTAAAGAGAGGACAGAAAACAGGTCACACAAAGGCAGAAGAACATGCTCTTTTACAGAGGTGGCTGGTGAAGTGATACGTGTGATGGCACAGAAGGCAACACTGACTAGAAGCTCTCTCTATAAAGCAGCAGCCCCTTAATAGATTTCCTTCTGGAGACACAGTGGTGGCTTAATTTAAACATTATAAAAGTGCTTGCTGCACATGGATTTCTGCCTGCTATTAAATAAATCCTTAGTTCCTATGCTAACATTGCTAGGAGTAGATTAGGTCGTATTAGTTATAAAAAGAAATCCATTTTCGCCAACATCACCAGCTTATCTGAACAAAGAGATATGCATTAAAGATAAAGCTAGTTTAGTGTTACCATTAAAGACCTCTTGGTAATTCAGATTCAGCATCAGCAAAAACCTTAGGTGTTAAAATGTTAGGTGTAAAAATGCAATTCTGAGGTGTTAAAGGGAGGAGGGGGGACATTATAGTGTACTTACAGAAATAGCTAACTACCCATTTTCCTCCTGCAATACCCAGAAAATATTTCAGTGTCCGTTCACACACAAACTCAGCATCTGTAGGATGCAAAACATCCAAAGGATTAGAAGTTGAAAACAAAAATCAGCAAGTTCTGCTTTAGGAAGCTAAAGTGCCCCCTGCAACTTATGCTACTGGAGATCAATCTGGATTGATGATTCCAACAGCCCAGGTGAGAGACTCAGAGGCCGGAAGCACCCTAATTATAAGCAGCAAGTGTGCCTCTTTGGAGACCTGGATAAGGCTGATAGGAGGCTGAGACCACAGGAAAGGTCTGTTCTATCTTCCAGGTGCCAACAGTGGCTAAAGACTTCTGTCAACATGTTGAAGAAATCACCCCTATCAGCAGTATTGATACAAGTGGATGGGGAAGATCTATTTTACTGGATGGTAAAATGTGAAGAGACAAAAGCAGTATTATCGAAATCCTGAATCTAAAATGTCCATGTAAGTGACAAGGTTTCACACCCAGAACTTCTACCTGGGGAATCCTAACCCCTTAATTTCGAATTTCCCTGAGAGGCACGGGAAAAACAAACTCTTTTCACAGCTTTTCTCTTTTCTATGTACTTCAGAAGGTAGGAGCTGAAGAATCAGTTCTGTTTTTCTCATCATTTCAAAGGCCTCCTCTGAAGTAAGCAAACTGACAAAAGAGCACTTAGTTTTAAACAGGAGAAATGTATTTAACTAAATCCTAAACACAGTAGGCCATCTGCCAGTAGAAGCAACAGTCATTTTCCCTCCTAGGATCCTTCACAAAATTTTTAAAAATCCTTTTTCCTCCTTCAAATTTTAAAGCTTTTTAACTGCTGTAAAAGTTGATTTAGTAATATGCTTTAAACTCAGAAATTGTAGCTCATTTTTGTTTAAAAGTAGCAAATCTTGAGGCACCTGGGTGGCTTGGTCTTCAGCTCAGGTCATAATCTCACAGCTCATGGGTTCGAGCCTGCATCGGGCTCTGTGCTGACAGGTAGCTCAGAGCCTGGAGCCTGCTTCAGATTCTGTCTCCCTCTCTCTCTGACCCTCCCCTGCTCACGCTGTCTCTCTCTCTCTCTCTCTCTCTCAGAAATAAATAAAACATTAAAAAATAAATATTGAAAAAAAATTTTTTTAAGTAGCAAATCTTGTATTATCTTTGAGTTGAAAGACTGAACTACTTTAGGTTTAATTTGCATTTTAAAGTTTTCTTTCCACCTTTCAGCAGCTTTGATCCAAAACTACAGCTATCTTAAGCTATGTTAAACTTCACTGACATCCATCTCTAAAATGTTACTTCACTCAAAGTATCTTGTGGTGGCACCTGATTCCTGTGAGCATTACCCTGTGACCCTGTGGTACAGTCTTTGTACAGTAGAAACCTGAGATATCTGACATTTGAAGGCGATGTGTCCCTGCCAAGGAGTCAGGACCCTGTGCCCGAGCGCCTGCAGCTACCTGACAGAAACACCCTGGAGAGGACCACTGTATTTCCAGAGAGTCAATTTTGTGAGAAAGGTTTTTGTTTTTGTTTTTAATTTTTTTTTTCTAATGTTTTATTTATTTCTAGGAGAGAGAGAGAGAGACAGCGTGAGCAGGGGAGGGTCAGAGAGAGAGGGAGTGACAGACTCTGAAACAGGTTCCAGGCTCTGAGCTGGCAGTCAGCACAGAGCCCGACGCGGGGCTCAAACCCATGAACAGCAAGATCATTACCTAAGTGAAAGTTGGACGCTTAACTGACTAAGCCACCCAGGCGCCCCATGTGAGAAGGGTTTTAAGAACTAAACTCCAGGGGTGCCGGGGTGGCTCACTTGGTTAAGCGTCCGACTTCGGCTCAGGTCACGATCTCACAGTTCGTGGGTTTGAGCCCTGCATTGGGCTCTGTGCTGATAGCCAGCTCAAAGCCTGAGGCCTGTTTCAGATTCTGTATCTCCCTCTCTCTGACCCTCCCCTGCTCATGTTGTCTCTCTTACTCTCTCAGAAACAAATAAAACATTAAAAAAAATTTTCTTTTAAAGAAGTGAACTCTAATCTGCATCTTCTGTGTGTTGGCAGGTGCCACTCTTGGCTTTCTGGAGCCTAACAAGGGAGTCAACCTCCTCTTCCAGAAATCAGCTCTTCAAATATTGGAAGATCGCTGTCTTGTTCCCTTCAGTCTTTCCGTTCCTTCATCTGTTCTTCAAATGACATTGCTTTCAATTCCTTTCCCCCGTCCTCATCATCTACCTCTGGGTAGACACTCTAGTTTGTCAGTGACCAGCTTCAAAAGGCAGCTTGGTGCTCAAGGCAAAGCACACACCTTCCAGGCAGCCCCTCTAGCAGAGAATGCAGGGGGGGGGGTCAGGATCTTCACTTCACTTGCTCTGGACACTAGGCTTCTATGAATAAGGCCCAATTTCAAATGAGCTTCTTCGGCAGCCCTGAAATGTTTACTTAGATTTAGCTAAAAGCCTCTCAGGTCTCCGTTATCACACAAGCCATAATTAAGACTGGAAAGGGGGAAGGTGTAGGACAAATGAATTTCCCCTTCTCTTTCTCCTGTTTCATATGCTAGGCTACCTCAGAACTGACAGTGGGCCTGCGTCCTGAAAGACTCTCAACCTCACTCAAACTGGGTGGAGTAGAGCTAGGACACGGAGTGGACAGGGAGCTAGCATTTCCAACTGCCTGGATTTTGAGCACAGGCTCACTTCATCCTCCTTTTGCCCAATTTTTTTTTTTTAATGTTTTATTTATTTCTAGGAGACAGAGAGAGAGATAGCGTGAGCAGGGGAGGGTCAGAGAGAGAGGGAGTCACAGACTGAAACAGGCTCCAGGCTCTGCGCTGGCAGTCAGCACAGAGCCCGACGCGGGGCTCAAACCCACAAACCGTGAGATCATGACCTAAGCGAAAGTCGGATGCTTAACCAACTAAGCCACCCAGGCGCCCCTTGCCCAATTTGTTCTTCCAGGACTTGGGCTGTGCCTCACCAGGAAGCCCTTCACACAGTGTGGTCTCGGCAGGGTGGACTAGAAGTAGTTCATTGTTCTGGCTCCTGATTCTACAAATTGTAACCCAAACCAAAGGGGGCCGGGAAGTAGCAAAACTGATTTTTCTTTCACAAATAATTGATTGGTTGACTACTGGAAGATGGTCAGCCATGCTATGTTGAACAAATATTCCCATTTCTTCATGTGGTTTTATGTAACAGATGCAACGTGCTCTGGAAAGGCTCTTGGTATACCTGTTTTCATAATGATGTGAGTAGTCTCTTCAGAAATCACGTTAGTTATGGTGATGTGATGTCTTCTGGCAAACTTCTGCACCAGCATCTGAAATCAAATCAAATATTACATCATAATAAATTACCTCTCGTACACAGCTTTGACTATTAGTTACCCTAGTTTTGAGTCTCCATTTTCCTCACAAAAGGTACATCCCTTTTATTCTAACATGCCTGAAGTCCCAAAATAAATAGCAATTTAATAAAAAATTATGTATAAATCAGAGGGAAAAATTCTAAAATAGTCTGTACTAATAGCCATGGAAATATAACCCAGGATTCAAAATAATAATTTTTCCCCTTAATAGCAGCTATCATTTGATTCCCTAAGACAGTTTCTTTGCAGAGTGGTACGCTACTATAATTTAGATTTATCAGCCTACACTTCGTAAGCCAAGAGGTAACCAGCCTATTCAGAAAGTTATGCTACAGATATGCGGCTGAAAAACCTGCTTCAACTCTCTCATGGTTACAAAACATTCAAGGCAAGATGCTTCTAAAGGTCAGTGTAAAAACCATCAATTTCTCTTAAGAATAAGGATTGGAAGAGATTCATATGCTTCCTGAAAGAAAGCTAAAGCCTTCTAGCTATTATTTATCAACCAAATAAAAATCAATAGGCAATAAAAGGAATTAACCAGATCCGTTATGGACACGGTTGACACGATCAGTAGCTACTGTGTGGTAAACCACTTTGCTTACCAAGGGCCATCATTTACTAGCCCTCGCCATCCATGCCCATATGTATGTGCTGCACACCCCTGCGACAGAGATCAGGCCATCTTTCTTGCAAGCTGCCTCACTCCATACTGCCACAGGGCGCTGAGAAAGAGAGGCTGGAGAAGCTAATGACCTCCTCCCCCTTTTGTCACTGCCCTCTGCCAGGATCATTAGCAATTCTGAACTGATTAATTGTTGAAATCCCGGCCTTGAAACAGCGTTTAGTTAGAAGAGCGACTGCTGAAAAGATCATCTTAATATGGGCTTCAGAATTAATCATGTGTACTACAGTCAGCAGCTTTCATAATAAATTTACCACACTTCAGCAAGTCTGAATAGAGCTGAAAAGTTTTCTTCTTTGCTTGTTTAAAAGACAAGACGTACCCGAGTCACTTACAGTCTAATATGCAGCTCCGAATTGTCCATGGCATGAAAAGATTAGATCTTTTTAGCCTTCTCTGAAAAGCTGAACTCACAATACAAGGGAGGACGGAATGCTAATTTTTGATGAATAAATGGGAATTCTAGATGTACAGGCAAATGATCAAGAACAATATATAAACAGGCACAAATATAAATTTTCAGAGCAAATAGCTGATCTGGGCACGTGCTTGTGAGATGGGAATCCTAGCATTATTGGTAAGAATTTATTCGTTGTATCTACTAGGGCAGACACAGCTTACTTTGCCCTTTTGGTGGAGGGACACATCTGGCCAAGCAGAATGTTATGCCGAGTCACTACCTATAGAGAAGTTAGGATGAGAAATGGTTCTGAGCCTAGGAAGGATATATTAAGAAAGATAGTTAAGAATGATTCTGCCATCTCTCAGTGTGCGATAAATGGCATCCACTATTGTATCCATCTGATATGCTGGTGTGTTATTGTATGATTTTAAAGAAATATTCACTCAATTATTTTTTTCACTCAATTATTTTATTATGAAAGGATACCAATGGTGACTGGTACCACTGACAAGGGAGGTCAATTGCCTAGGATGTCTGAAATCTATACTCAGCCCAAGGAAAAACAAGATTTCAGTGGCATTTTAATGGGTATTTTTCTACAATGTGAAACAATTCCTATTTGTAGCAACACAGGCCCAATGACATGTCAAATTGGAGGGAAGTGTGCTGCAGGGTAGAAATGATAGAGCAGGTTATTGAATAACTGTTACAGGCCAGGATAGAGACAAATCCAGGAGAAAAGCGACTATCTGGCAGTTTGCTTGGAACTACTTTGGATTTTGTTCATTATGCTCATAAGTTCACTCAGATGTAAACCACGGTGTTTACTCTGGGGAATAAAACTATACTCTATAGGGGCACCTGGGTTGCTCAGTTGGTTAAGTGACTGATTTTTGGTTTCCACTGAGGTCATGATCTGATGGTCTATGAATTCAAGCCCTGCACTGGGCTCTGTCGGACACTGTGGAGCCTCCTTAGGATTCTCTTTCTCCCTCTTTCTCTGTCCCTTCCCTGCTCGCTCTGTCTCTCAAAATAATAAACTTTCAAAAAAATTAAAACAACAACAACAACAACCTATACTATACCTACTTGCTTTTTTGGACAAAAAGCAAATTAAAATGAAAAAGCTCTGTTAGATCCCAAACTACAACATGCTGCTAATAGTTAATGATTATTTACTTAAGTAAATATACACAAAATAATCTATGTTATAGCTTTATCTAGGTCCAATGATCAGAAATCAGTAATGGAAATGAAATTACATTGAATTGTTCTTGGTTCCTAGATTTTTTTCTTACAGGTTATTCACTGCTAGTACCTATTTAAAACTACTTGCACTATGTAAAGAAGTCTCAGTTGTTAGGGAGACACATATGGAGACACTCACAAATTCTTTTGGAGTCAAGCCTGATGCCACCATAGATATTCTTTTATTGACTCTTTTTGTTGAAGATGTCACTTCTGGCTTCTCCTTGCTCACAATGTCTTCCCTCTTATTATACCCAGCAGTATTAGTAATATGAACAGCAGCTGTACTCTTGGCTGATTCTTCAACTTGAAATTGGGGTAATTTCAAGGCAGGGGTTGAAGTTGGCATGCTGCTAACATGAACCGGTTCTGGGGCTCTGTCCACAGAGGGATCAGACTCAGGATCATCAGAGAAGAGGCTGATTCCAGATTCGAAGGAAGGGGTTCCCTCTGAAAGGCACGGAGAAAGAAGTTTAACAGACCTGATAATGAATTTGAATTACAAACAGTATTCATGATTCCATATTTTAAAAATGAAAGTTTAAGTCAACAGACTAAAGAAATATAGCAGCATTCTATTGCCAATGACGGGAATTCAAGTAATTTTAAATATTCCTTTCAAAAAAAATTTTTTTTAATGTTTTATTTATTTCTAGGAGAGAGAGAGACAGCGTGAGCAGGGGAGGGTCAGAGAGAGAGGGAGTCACAGACTCTGAAACAGGCTCCAGGCTCTGGGCTGGCAGTCAGCACAGAGCCCGGCGCAGGGCTCGAACCCACGAACCACGAGATCATGACCTGAGCGAAAGTCGGACGCTTAACCGACTAAGCCACCCAGGCGCCCCTCCTTTCAAATTTTTATTACCTATATTCTCCAACTGTTTAACAATGAACATAAAGAATACACAGTACTTTTGTAAGGGAGAACAATTTTGAAAAAAAGAAACAAATACTTTTTTTTTGTTTCTTTATCTACAACATCATTGTCTTTTTGACCTAATAAATCATCAGATATTATTACCAAATTAAAATTAGGAGACCATTCCTGAAACATTTCAGAAAATGTCACTCCCTCAGGAAGTAAGCATAGCTGCATAGAGTTCGTGAGATTCCTAAAATGACCTTAATGAACATGGCCAAATACCACATTTAGGTGCCAAAGAGTACCTTTTATGATAATGTGTTTTTGAGGACTAATTTAAAGCTTTCTTTACTGATTAAAACTTTGATTTATAAGCCATAAAACACACCATTCGGTTATGGTGATTTATAAGGCATAAAATACCTAGTCATTTATATTCATTAATTCATAAAATAAGAGCTTACTTTGTAGAGATTTGACTCATTTTTCAATAAAGGGCAGGCCAAAAACTTTATTCTAGGGCCCTAGAATTCTTTTTTTTTTTTTTGCTCCCCCCCCCTTTTTTCTTTTTTTTTTTTTTTTAAATATATTTTTTTAATGTTTTATTTATTTCTAGGAGAGAGAGAGAGAGACAGCGTGAGCAGGGGAGGGTCAGAGAGAGAGGGAGTCACAGACTGAAACAGGCTCCAGACTCTGAGCTGGCAGTCAGCACAGAGCCCGACGCGGGGCTCGAACCCACAAACCGTGAGATCATGACCTAAGCGAGTCGGACGCTTAACCGACTAAGCCACCCAGGCGCCCCCCCCCCCCCTTTTTTCTAAGTAATCTCTATGCCCAACTTATATGAGTTCAGACTTAAACTCACAACCCTGAGATCAAGAGTTGCACATTCTACTGACTGAGCAAGCCAGGTACTGTAGGGCCCTAGAATTCTTACTTAACAGTTGAAATAAAACATTTAGAGTATACAAGACTCTCCCATCCTCAAAACTGTTAGAGCTAAATCAATACAGGTATATTCACAGCTGCAATAATTTTCATGTAAATTTGGATTAATATTGAAGCAATCTTTCTAAAATGGGTTTAAGAATAATGGAAGCATTCATGACAGACTACACATGTTAGACATCTGAAAAGTTGATTCACTGAAATACCTTTAGGCCAGATTCAGAGTAAAACAGAAGTGTTTTCTCCATTAGAACAGATAAAATATTACCCAAATCTTGTCTTGAAATATAAGACTGCTCCAAGAAATCTCGGGGCTCTGACTTAGTCAGTTGTAGCTCTTCCCCATTGGCAACCTTAATGAGCTCCTTCTGAGACAGACAGTTTGTGCTCTGAAGACTCCTTGAGTGGCTGTGCACAGACTGCCTAGTATCTAACAGCCGAGGCTGAGAAGGGGAAGACCTAGAAGAAGGATGAAAGGAGAAAGTCACCAGCACAGCTTATGAAAGGGCTCATCATACTTCCCGGTCAGCTAAAACACAAGTTGGAACAGCTTACTGCCAGAGAGATGGGGAACGACTAGTGAAAAAGAACCTGAGTGACTGCCCAGAAGTCTGCATCTACATCTGCCAACATGTCAGGGCTGACAGACAACATCTCCCCTTAGGGTCTGGGCCAAGGCAGTACATCTCTCAGCTGTTTAAAAGCATGTCAGCAAATTTCACCAAAGTATTCACTGCTCCTTGCTCAAATTCTATCCACTATCTCACTGAGTCCAAATGGATGTTTTAGACTCATTCAGATCTCTCACAAAAACACAAAGCTGATTAATTCTGACACTTCTACACTCATTCTTTCTACCCAGTTTTAGCAGAATTCATAGAATCATCCCTACCTCCTGCCTTTTCAATGTCCAAAGCCGTTCTAAAACCAAAAGCCAGCTATAAAGTATTGTCAGAAGAGTATATGCACTCAGTGGTTCATTCCTCTGCTCTTTCAGGTATTTAGGACTTTGCAGAATAAGATACTTATCAACAGATTTAAAGGACGCTTAACAAATTTGCAGAATTAATACTCAAATGCATCATGTATAGTTGCCTTTAAATAATAATGGTTAACACTTAAAAACAATAAATTATAATTATAATGGATTATGTAATTAAAATAATATAATTGATTATGACATAATAAATATAATATAAATTAACAATGAACACACATTAAATACCTGTCAATTAAACAATTATTGGGTAGTGTTTACTACAAGTCAGGTCATAAAACTAGGTCCTGTGGATTAAAGATGAGCAAAACTTGAATTGTAAAGGGAGGTTGCTCAATCAATGCGTAGGCTCTTTATTTTTTTAATTAAAAATTTTTTTAACATTTATTCATTTTTGAGAGACAGAGAGAAACAGAATGTCAGTGGGGGAGAGGCAGAGGCAGAAAGAAAGAGGGAGACACAGAATCTGAAGCAGGCTCCAGGTTCTGAGCTGCCAGTACAGAGCCTGATGTGGGACTCAAACTCACGAACTGTGAGATCATGATCTGAGCTGAAGTCAGATGTTTAACCAACTGAGCCACCCAGGTGCCCCAATATGTAGGTTCTTCAATAGAAGACTCTAGAGGGTACACTGGATAAGAATAGGAGGAGGTACAGCAATATTTAATCTTAAATATATATATTTTTAAGTCTACCTATTTATTTTTGAGAGAGACAGAGAGAGAGCATGAGCAGGGGAGGAACAGAGAGAGAGGGAGAGACTATCCCAAGCAGGTTCCACTGTTAGCATGGAGCCTTATGCAGGGCTCAAACTCACGCACTGTGACATCATGACCTAAGCCAAAATCAAAAGTTAGACATGTAACCAACCAAACCACCTGGGTGGCTCAGTTGGTTAAACGTCTGACTTCAGCTCAGGTCACAATCTCATGGTTTGGGAGTTTGAACCCTGTGTTGGGCTCTCTGCTGATAGCGCAGAGCCTATTTTGGATCCTCTATCTCCCTCTCTCTCTCAAAAATAAACATTAAAAAAATATATGATTCCTGGGGCGCCTGGGTGGCTTAGTCGGTTAGGCGTCCGACTTTCGCTTAGGTCATGATCTCGCGGTTCGTGGGTTCGAGCCCCGCGTCGGGCTCTGTGCTGACTGCCAGCTCGGAGCCTGGAGCCTGTTTCAGAGTCTGTGACTCCCTCTCTCTCTGACCCTCCCCTGTTCACGCTGTCTCTCTCTCTCTCCTAGAAATAAAAAATATATATATATATATATGATTCCTAATATATGATTCCTTTTCCTTCCTAACATGTAGGACTCTAATGGGTCTGAGATTCTGTCCTGAACTGTCGAGTAGGAATAACAGTCCAAATTTGTCCTTCTCTCTTTGTAGTATTGTAAAGATCCAGTGAGAAAGTGGATAAAGTGCTTTTGAAAATACCAAGTGCTATACAGTCTTATCTCAATAATGACTTGAACAGACATCCTGAAAGATATTCTGAATTTTCCTGGGGTAAATCAATACCTAAACTTTTTCTAGAGACATAAACTTTGACTAGGGTAAGGGCTGCCTTCAAGAAGAATACCATCTGCCCTCAGGCTTGTTTAGCTTTCACTTCTGTATTTTATTCTGACCTTCAGGAGGGACAGATCTGTGCATTTCTCATTGTAGCTCATGCCTTATATAGAACCGGAAAACTGACACCCAACTGAACAAGAATGTCGTGGAGAAATGAGACGTTAGAGATGGCTCTTTACAAAAAAACTAGAGCAGTATGGTGAGAAAATTTAATAAGAGCTCAATATAAGTAAAGATGTTACTCAGATACCACAAATTGACATTACTTCTTACCTTCTCATTGCCGGTTCTTTATTCTTACCGGTGGAACCATCCAGAGATATTTGAAATTTGTCAGCAGTGGAGGTTTCCCGATTCTGGCTTATAGGACAGTCACTACTTTTCTCTGAAGTTAATACTGCTTGAAATGGAATGAGAAAACAAAGAAATCTACTTTACGGCTCTGTCTTAATGGTGATAATTCAGGTGAGGATATCGATTTTTTCAAAAGCAGCAATCTGTGACAGTCAAATTAGTTTTTAAATAAGTATAACAGACAGAATTTTATAAATGTAAGTGATGCAGCAGCAAATGAAACAAAATGACTAAAAAACAGTAATGACAATAAAGGACACACTTTAAAACAGGAGTAAATGAAGATCTCCAGCTGAGACAGGGCTGCAAAAAACATACATATTTTTTGGCCCTGAATGATAAGAAAACAAGAATAGGAAATGAATTGTTATCTCTGCAGCAAAATAAATTATTCTGAAATCCCCTCAGATAACAGGGAAGAGAAAGTACTGGAAAGCACAAAGCACATTCCCTACTGTCTCCACATCAGAGACTGTAGAAGATGGGGGTTTGAGCTTTTTGTACGTGTGGGGAATTAAGAAGGGAATGGTCAGATGAGACAGAAAATCCAGGTGACAGTTTGCTTTTCGTTTGCAATGACTAACAAAAAAACAAACTGAAAAACAAATATATACACAAAAACCAAGGTGCTAACTGATAAGGAACCTTGAAGTAATCTATGGAACTAATGATGAAATGGCACAAGAAAGGAAAAAACATACAACAGACGCAAGGCCAAGTTCTGGCATGTTAATGAGTCCCTTTTATTTATTAATTCCTCCAAATGTATTCTCGTAGCACTGCTTTCTAGGAAATGCCTTAAAGGCAGAAATCTTTAAAAAGCAAAAGCAAATGCTTAAAATTACAAATGTCTTCTACCCACTAAAAAGTCACTGACAATTGTAATTTATTTCGAGCCTTTATTAGAAAAGCTACAATGCATAAATCGAGGCAGAAAAACTTAAACAAACAAAAGGCTGTATTAATTAAACTGTGTTTTAAGTCATTGGGTAGCCCGGAGGGAAATTTAATCCTCAAATGTACTATTTATAGTTTCCTTTATGTGCATCTTTTCTGGACCTGTGCATTTCTAAGAACACAAGAACTCCAACTGCTGCAAGTAAGCAGAGTCTAACCAAGAACCGGCAAGTTTTTCTTTCAACTGTGTATGTAAAGCTTTTTAATTCAGGTATCATTCCCCCCCAAATCCAGGGTGATAACTGATAAAAGGTAGTGTGTAGTTTCAAAAGAAGTGAAAGGATACAGGGTGGGGTGGGGGAAGCCTCACACACAAACAGAGATGTTAAAGTCATTCCATTGCCTGAACGTTTGACATATGAGCTACTCTTTTCAATACAATACAGCTCAAGCTACAAAGAAATGAAGCTAACCTGAGTTAGGATTCGATAACTCAACACTACATGAAAAAACACAGGGCAAAACTCTTCTGCTCTTCTTCCTTTATCCTTATTTCATAAACACAGATCCAGAACCCAAGTCCTGGTACAGTCCCTCTTAAATCACCCCCTCCTCTGGGGGTGCGGAATCTTAACATGTTATATTCTTCATGGTTAGGGGCTATGGGCTAGACCAAACATTTAATAAATTTACTGCCTATTATGTACTAAGCATTATGCACAGTATTGGGGGGGGAGCCAAAGGAAAAGATATTGGGGAGGGAAGATATTAAGAAATAATCAACTACATGGGGGGGTGCCTGGGTGGCTCAGTTGGTTGAGCGTCCGACTTCAGCTCAGGTCATGATCTCACAGCTCGTGGGTTCGAGCCCCGCATCGGGCTCTGTGCTGACAGCTAGCTCAGAGCATGGAGCCTGCTTCTGATACTGTGTCTCCTCCTCTCTCTGACCCTCCCCTGCTCACGCTGTCTCTCTCTCTCTCACTCAAATAAATAAAACATTAAAAAAAAAAAAAGAAATAATCAACTACATGGGGCACCTGGGTGGCTCAATTCGGTTAAGCGTCCAACTTCGGCTCAGGTCATCATCTCACGGTTCGTGAGTTTGAGCCCCACGTTAAAAATAAATAAATAAATAAATAAAAATAAAATTTTTTAAAAATTTAAAAAAAGAATCAACTACAAAATACAGAACCTACAATGAAATTCACTTTTAAAAAAAAATTTTTTTTAATGTTTTATTTATTTCTAGGAGAGAGAGAGAGATAGCATGAGCAGGGGAGGGTCAGAGAGAGAGGGAGTCACAGACTCTGAAACAGGCTCCAGGCTCCAAGCTGGCAGTCAGCACAGAGCCTGACGCGGGGCTCGAACCCACGAACCGCAAGATCATGACCTAAGCGAAAGTCGGACGCTTAACTGACGAAGCCACCCAGGTGCCCCTGAAATTCACTTTTTAAAAAAAGTACATACTCATCCACTCCAACTGATTCAGAATTTCTGGGGCGGGGACCTAGGAATTTTGAACAAGCGCTTCCGGGAATGAACGTACGTACTGCTGGACAGAAAAGCTCAGATATGTCTGAAAATCACTTCTGCTGTAACAGGCTGTGATCTTACAAACGCTAATGTTTGCTTTATGAATGACAGGTAATCAAAAAGAAAATAAACCAACAAAGTGCCCAATAGGAAATAGCTTTACCTGTAGCGGAAAGTACACATATTTTATAATGGGTAAGGACACACATTTGCACAAAAATATGCAGGCTTGAGAATGACCCCTAAATAAACCATAAGACAGATCTATGCTGAGGGTAAGACGTTTGATGTAAAGGCCCTAGAAAAGGAGCTTTCTTCATCTTTAAGAATACTAGATGTTAAAAATAAAAACTGGTGAAATCCAGTAAGTCTAGAGTTTCATTTGTTACCAGTAATGTACCAATGTTGGTTTCTTAGGTCTGATAAAAGCACCATGGTAATGCAGGATGACAACATTAGGGGAAATGGAAACTAGATAAGGGGCAGAATTCCTGCAGGAACTCTCTGTACTATCATTGCTACTTTTCTGTAAGCCTCAAATGATTCAAAAATAAAAAGCTTATTAAAAAACAAGTCAGTATAGCTAAAGGTAAACAAGACTACCCTTCCTAGGATCAAGAAGCTCACTTGAATTTCAGTCGCCTCACATCAATTTAAGAAAGGAAAAGGCACAAACCTTGAATTGATATTAAGTTGATGCTCACACTGTTTCAGAAATAACACCACAAAATTCCAGAATCCATATCCAGAAATCTCCTTTCAGTAAGTCTGGGGCAGGCTTCAGGGTTTTAATCATGTGAATTAAAATATTTACTGTCTACTATGTTCTTTTTTTTTTTTTTTTAAGAATTTTTAAATGTTTATTTTTGAGAGAGAGACACAATGCGAACAGGAGAGGGAGACACAGAATCTGAAGCAGCCTCCAGGCTCTGAGCTGTCAGCACAGAGCCCAACATCGGGCTCAAACTCACAGACTGTGAGATCATGACCTGAGCCAAGGTTGGACACCCAACTGACTGAGCCACTCAGGCGCCCCAAGTGTCTACTATGTTCTAAGAGTTCTCTGCCCTCATGGAATCTACACTCTAGTGAGAGGTGAAGGGGAACTCTACACAGTAAGGAAAACAAATTGTGTATAATTAAAAGCTAATAAGGGTTATGAAAAAATAACAGTAGAACAGAGGAAAGCGGGGCTGGAAAAGTCAGAGCGGTAAAAGTTACAATGAAAAAGATGACAGCTCATGGTAGATCTTACTGAGCATTGCTCTGTAAGATCAAATAAGCAGCATTTGAGCAATTTGTACAACATATCCCAGTTATGGCAAAGAGATCATGCAGGACACTCTCTGCGGAGTTGGGAGAAAGGAATTTTTCTTCTTTTCTTAGTAATCTCTATACCCAACATGGGACTCAAACTCAGGACTCTGAGATCAAGAGTCACATGCTCTGATGACTGAGCCAGCAAGGTGCCCAAGGACTTTCTTGTTTTAAGCCAGGAAATTCTCTTTAAACACTTATATATATATATTTTTCTTAATTAATTAATTGAGCGAGCGAGCAAGAGAGGGAGAGAATCTCAAGCAGGCTCCACACTCAGCACAGAGCCCAATGTGGGGCCCAATCCCACAACCATGACATCATGACCTGAGCCAAAATCAAGAGTGGGATGCTCAACAGACTGAGCCACTCAGGTGTCCCAAGCCAGGAAATTTTCATAAGCCTCTCCTCTGTCCTCTCGACATTTACCCACCCACCTCAGAACTCTGAGGATGTTATAATTTCATGAGAAAGAAGACCAGTGAATAAGTGTACTATAGAGTAAAAGCTCCTGACAAAACTGCTATTCAGAGATTCAAAAGAAATTTTCAAAAAAGGTTTTCAGGGGCACCTGGGTGGCTCAGTAGGTTAAGCGTCTGACTTCAGCCTAGGTCACGATCTCATGGTTTGAAACTTCAAGCCCCAGATCAGACTCTGCTGTCAGTGCAGAGCCTGCTTCGGATCCTCTGTCTGTCTCTCTCAAAAATTAATATTTTTAAAAAAATGGGTTTTCAAATCCATAGTAAAGCAGAATGTATAAAAATAAAGCATTTATGAAATTTTAAAATGAAAGCAAGCAAGCCACAAGAAACACGTTGTCTACAGATCTTCAGGAAAAAATAAATGCACATCCCCGCCAAAAAGGAGATAGATTTACACACATATTCAAAGCCAGACAATAACATTGCCTACGTTGTGCATTAACACGGAAAGTCTAGTCTTAGACTGAAGATGGTGAAAGCACCCTAAAGAAGAGAACTGTGCTGGGGACGAGACTTTGGGCTTCATTATCTGGGAGAGGAACTAAATGAAGGTAGTTACAAAGAAAGCATTTAAGGAAATACATTTTGAACCACTGCCATAGCAACGGAGGCCCCAGCTTCCCATGCACGAGCTACTGTTTCTCCCTGAACATGCACATACTGCAAGGCGCAGTCTGGGACTGGAGCCACACCATTCTGGAGAATTAAGACTTGATTTCCTAGAAAGATGAAAAGGAAGGCCCTAAGGCCCCAAGACAGACTGGGGAAGGGAGTGACAAAGAAGCGACCTTCCCACTAAATTAGTTGGATGGGTATCATGGAGACAGTGGTGAAGACCACTTGGGGAGGGCTCACCACACTGCGGGTCCTGAAGCAGCAGCCCTTCTGCGGCGCCCGTGCCTGTGCGTCTCCTCTCACCTCTGTGTCTGCGGATCTGCCCCTAATTAAAACCTGCCCAATGTGCTGTCTTCCACAAGGCTCTCTCCAATCAAAACTCAAATTTTCATCTCACTTTCCTTCATTTACGCCACATTATTCCTCAGCTCTGTGCTCACTTCTTATGGGAAGTCAACTCTGATCAATCCCAACCTACCTAGTTATTCCAAGTGCCTTCTCTGAGAGGTCCGTGTGGTCTTGTTGGTCACTAGAACGCTGTCATAAAGGGCCTGACTCTTTCCATATAACCGAGCTTTCTGTGGATCATGGTGCAATTCCTGACACTTTGGACATCTCTTTCTCAAAATCAGAAAGCACATTAAATAGGGCTTTGGGATCTGATACCACTGTTATAAGGAATACATCCTGTTTTTTATATGTTTTCTAGAATGATGGGGTTGCCTATTTCCAATCTCCCCTAATACACTAAGCTTCCTAGGGGCTCCCCATAGTTTCCCCTCATTGTGGGTCCTCAGACAATGACACTTCTTGACTGTCCTGGTTACCCTGTAAGGCAAATTAGTTGTGAGCAGGGACTAGAACCAGGGCTCAAAATAAAATTACCCGTGGAGTGACTCAGCAAACCAATGCTGAGCAAAGAACATAAAATGTTGGAGTTAGGCCCCCACTTTAGGAGGGGAAAAACTTTGCTTAACATGCCAGAGTTTGGCCAATATTACAAACCTTTCTCTGATGTGCTTTGTTCCAGATTGAACAGGTCCTTAGGGCCACAAGAATCTGCTAAGAGGGCAGGGAAGCTGTTAGCAGGCTGGCTCTCGTGCTGCTCTAGCACAGCTTCCAGTTCGGCCATTTCCTGCTGGAGCTTGATCAGGTTGTCTTGCATGGTATCCCTCTGCTACAAATACAAGAAACAAAGCCAAGAAAGTCACACTCTTTTTGTTTTGTTTTGTTTTGTTTTGTTTTATTTATTTCTAGGAGAGAGAGGGAGAGACAGCGTGAGCAGGGGAGGGTCAGAGAGAGAGGGAGTCACAGACTGAAACAGGCTCCAGGCTCTGAGCTGGCAGTCAGCACAGAGCCCGACGCGGGGCTCGAACCCACGAACCGCGAGATCATGACCTAAGCGAAAGTCGGACGCTTAACCGACTAAGCCACCCAGGTGCCCCTGAAAGTCACACTCTTTAAGCAACTTGCCAGAGAGCAGGAATATGTCACACCAATTAATTTTAGCATGGGAACCAAAATCACCTAGAATGGAATTAGGAGTTCTGGTTGATCACCTCTCCATCCAACCATATTTCTGCAATTAAGGCCCATGAAGTTATTTCAGAATAATATCAGAGCAGGAGAATAACACCTCAAACTCTCCCAAACAGACTTGCTTTATTGTGATGCCCTTTCAACGTTGGTTACCCTCTTTTAAAGCGAGGGAGCAAAAAAAACAAAGTATTCAAACAGTTTCAATATTTAAAATTAGCAAGATTCTGTTAATATTTTACACAGGCCATGTTTCACAGATTTGGTACTGTGGGACTCAAAAGAGATTTGAGTTAGTCCATGTCATAGCGTCTGCCTTCTGGCTTGTGAGGACTCTTCCTTTTCTGGGATTCTTTGAACATTTAGTTTCCAAAAGAAAGAGCAAAGAGCTAATTCACTGATTTATCTATTCACTCAACAACTATTTGCTGACCATCTATTGCATGCAAGGCACTGTTCTAGGGGCTTATAGCCCTCATGGCGTTGCCATTCTGGATGCAGAGACGGTACCAGGAGATCACGACAAAGAAGGACCTGCTACAGGGAAGCATCTAGCAGAAAGAATCCTAGGAAATCCTGGAAGGATTGTTACTGTTTTTAATTCAAGATAATGGGCTCTTCTTGCTGATGGGACTTCTGATGTTTATTTCTCCATTTCAAGAAGAAATCTGCTAAGTCTTAGGTTTTTGATAAGCAAGGTATTTGGTAAGTAAGAGGCCTTGCAAAAAATACATGTCTTCACGGCTATTAGAAGGAACATCTATGGTTGGCAGCAAACCCCAGGGAAACAGATTGTTTCACCCTCCCTTTCTTCTGATCCTTGAAAAGGACTTTTGCCGTCTCCTAAAAACAAGCCATCTACTTTCTCCTGCCACACTGCGTTCATAGCTTTCAGATGTTTATGACCAGAAAAACGTACTCCCAGCGTCACAAAGGCTTCCTCTGCTGCCCCGAGACGGAGACCGCCTTGCTGCCAAAGTCTGCAGCAACGCCATTGCCACCACGTGGTGCTTCTGGGTAGTTCTGTCTCTGATCAAACCTGGCTGGGGGAACTGTCTCAGTAAATCTGGAATGAAACCCCATATACAGGTATCTGACAAGCTTCAGAAGCTGTATTAGTCACTTCCACCATGACTGCCACATCTAATTTCTCTGTGGCCATTAAATAGGTTAGAAAATCAGGAAAAACAGTAATGGGAGAATTGTAATTAGAGATCTTTTCTTTGGGTTTTCCCAAAAGAATTACTTTATAACCTAAATTCCCTTGTAGGTAATTGCCCAGACACATTTGGGAGACCAAAACCAAATTGGTTAGTGAGAGCTGTTTTTTTTTTTTTTTAATTCTAATTCTTAAGTGTTTCTGAAATAAGCCCTATTCTTCTTTTCTGTTCCCAATATGCTACTCTGATCTCTTAATATAGCTGCATTACTGTGAAGTTCTTTAAAACTCATTATTGCCCCCAGGATAAAGCCCAAATTCTTAAGCATAGCATTCAAAAGGCCTTTCACACTCTGATCTTTTATTACTTTCCCAAACCACCCATATGCCATTTTCCAGTTTCATATATACTTTCTGGACACATCATGCCTCTGTGTCTTTTTGTCTTGATTGCTGCCTCCCTTCCCTTTATACCTGGAAAAATTCTTCTCATCTTTCAAGGTCCAGCTCAGACGACTCCTTCAGAAATCCCCACCATCTACTACCAGGAACAGATGATCCCCCACTACTTCACTTATACTGCTAATGCACTAGTATACAAAAGTGGAATACTGGACCCTTCTTAAATTTTATTTTTTAAAAGGTTTATTTATTCTTTAGGTAGAGAGAAAGAGAGAGAATGCATAAGTGCAGGGGAGGGGCAGAGAGGAAGAGAGAATCCCAAGCAGGCCCTGTGCTGACGGTCTCAAACTCATGAACCATGAGATCATGACCTGAGCCGAAGTCAAGAGTTGACGCTTAACCAACTGAGTCACCCAGGCACCCCAGGACCCTTCTTGATGGGTGGAATCCTTCTTAATCATTTTTGTATTCCCAATGCCTAGCAGGTGGTAAGTACTCAGTAAATGTTTAATGCAGAAATGAATTAATGAATGAGTATAGTTAATCAGTCTTTGATAAAAAACAGATACTTAAATAGTACCAAATTAGGGATGCCTGGGTGGCTCAGTCAGTTAAGTGTTTGACTTCGACCCAGGTCATGATCTCACGGTTCATGGGTTCAAGCCCCGCATTAGGCTCTGTGCTGACAGCTCAGAGCCTAGAATCTGCTTCAGATTCTGAATCTCCTTCTCTCTCTACCCCTCTCCCACTTGTGCTCTGTCTCTGTCTCTCAAAAATAAGTAAAATATTAAGGGGCGCCTGGGTGGCTCAGTTGGTTAAGTGTCTGACTTCGGCTCAGGTCATGATCTCGTGGTCCGTGGGTTCGAGCCCCGCATCGGGCTCTGTGCTGATAGATCAGAGCCTGGAGCCTGTTTCAGATTCTGTGTCTTCCTCTCTCTCTCTGCCCTCCCCTGCTTGTGCTCTGTCTCACTCTGCCTCAAAAATAAATACACGTTAAAAAAAAAAATAAGTAAAATGTTAAAAAATATTAAATGGTACCAAATTAGGATTTCTTTCTCTCCTATATATTTCTCCTTAGTTCTGTTAAACAGATGGAGGGAAAAGATCCCACTTCAATCATTTTGCCTGTCTGTGCTACTCTAAATTTCAGTTAGCCATGAAATCTGACTTTAGCTGTTTTGAGTAGACTGTTGATAAAAACATTTGGCAAAATGAATCTTGAACAAATAGACATATCTCTGGGAAGATCAGAAATATGAAAAACAAAGAGTTTATGGAATGTCAAATCTAATGCACTACGGCAGAGGCCAACAGAATCAGAAACTGGAACCCACAAACTTAAAACACAATGGACAAAAAGGTGAAAGGCACTGGTGAAAAGGTTGAAAGAGCCCCAAATCCACCTAGGAGTTGCAGAGAAAAGGCCTCCTTAGTCTTTTCATTCATTTTGTCACCATGGCAATCCTGTAGGCAGGAAGAATACTGGTGACAACTCAGGTACGAACAGCCTGAATAGGCCACCGTCTCAAAGATTTCTTCCTGACTGAAGCAGGTTTCAGCCCTAGAGGGATCTGCTCTGTACAGAAAACGGGCAGAAGACAAGCCCTTTCCTTCCATAGTCCTCACAGCAATGCCAAGAATTAGAAGATGTTAAAACTGGATACCACCTGGTGTTAGCAACAGTGCAGGGAAGTGAGACCCATCAAGTATCACAGGGGCTGTGAGAGTATGGATTTGTTCAATCTTTCTGAAGAACAATTTAACATGTATCAAAGACCAAAAACTTTAGCCGTAGGAATTTATACTAAGGAAATCACTGGGAATGCAGGCAAATCTTTAGCTATTATGAAGATATTACTATGGTGCTGTACATGATAGCAAACTGTGTCTCTTACTTTGAAACCCTCATATTTATTAATAGGTCAAATAAATCATGGCTTCCCCAAAGGACAGAATACTATATAGCAATCAAAAATGAATCATTGAGGGGTGCCTGGGTGGTTCAGCTGGTTAGGCCTCCGACTTTGGCTCAGGTCATGATCTCACAGTTCGTGGGTTCAAGCCCCACATCAGCCTCTGTGATGACAGTTCAGAGCCTGGAGCCTGCTTTGGATCCTGTCTCTGTCTCTCTCTGCCCCTCCCCTGCTCACATTCTGTCTCTGTCTCTCTCTCAAAAATAAATAAACATTTAAAAAAATCATTGAAGAAAACTTAATGACATCAAAAAAACATTACAGTGTATGTTAAGTACATGGAGCATTATGTATTTTTTAAAGCTACAGTGTACACCTACCTTTGTGCACACACAGGAAGAAAAATGGAAGAATACGTATGAATAGTTAATAGTAATTATTCCTGAGTAACCCACAGAATTTAATCTTTTAAATAATTAATGTAAGCACATGGCATAAAATTCAAGGCACAAAAGGATATTCAAAGAATAAGGCTTCCTCTTCCTTCTCCCAGTCTTGTTTCCCCACTCTGAGGGCAACCACTATTACCTGTTCAGTGAAGATGGTGGTGTTAATCTTTATTTATTTATTTATGATGGTGTTAATCTTTAAGCACTGTGATAGAGAGTGCTTTTTCAAGGAGAATCCTCTGCCTGTAGTACTGAAACATTCATGTTACCGATCCCCTTCATAAGTACCACAATCTTGGTCTTGGCCATGAGATACAGGAAGTAAAATCATGTTACTTTCTTTTTTAAAGAAAAAAGAGGACTTACAGGCACCAAGAAACAACTTGCAGATTTAAAAAGAAAGAACAAAAAGAAATCTCCACAAAACAACGAAAGGCTAGATCATCTCTGTGGGCTCCAATTTTGTACCGAGAATAAATACACCCCTCACTTTAACACAGTAGTGCTTTCATAGATATTTTTGCTATGGGGAAAATTGCTTTTTTAAACAATATATATTTTTAAATGTTTATTTATTTTTGAGAGAGAGCATGAGCAGGGGAGAGGCAGAGAGAGAGAGGGAGACACAGAATCTGAAGCAGGCTCCAGGCTCTGAGCTGTCAGCACAGAGCCCGACACGGGGCTCGAACTCACGAACAGTGAGATCATGACCTGAGCCACCCATGCGCCCCTAGGGAAAATTGGTTTTGAAGGTTTAGCTTATTCATTAAGTTCAGGATGTATTGTTTGTAGTGAGCCAGGTGCGGGGGTGTGTGTGTGTGTGCACATGCATGTGAGTGAAATAAAAGGCAGCATGAGTTCCATTCAGGTGCTTACCATCTACTCCGAGGAGACAAGGTACCACATACAACGGTTATACCATTAATTCTAAAGGATGATCAAGCAAATGTCAGAGCGTGGGGTGCCTGGGTTCATGCTACTGAACACAGTGGACACAACACACACACATCCACACAAGCCTTTTACCTGAGTGGTTAAAATATCACTTTGAGAGGACACCCCTGAACAGTCTTCAGAGAGGCTTGTTTCACTGTCGTACCTGGATGCCGCTTCACCTTAAATGATGATAAAAATAGCTTCAGATGTGAAAACAGCACATACCACAACTCCTATCTGTCTCCTCCCATTGGTGGGCCAAATTTCACTTTCACGTCATACAAAATGATCACACTCCTTGTTCTGGGACACCTGGGTTTCCTCTTGGAAATCATAACAATGAAAACCAGAAATAAGTCCCCCAACAATTAGATCTCTTTCAAACAGAGAAGATGTACTAGCTGGGTAAAGGACTTTTACGGAAAGGCACCTTAGGAGGAACATGTGTAAAGCTTAAGAAACAGATACTTTAGTTGCACTTGGAAACTTGTAAAATGTCCTCTTCCAAAAGGCATCAACATTTAGCTCATTTCTATACTACAGATGGGGGCAAACACAAAAACCGGGTTCCAATACCTAAGTTTGAATCCACACTCTGCTCTTCTTCATGATTATCATCTTCCAGGCCAGGTTCCCTTTCATCATCATATGAACCCAATTCCTCATCACTCAGAACGTCCAGGTTGCCAGACTGATGCCTCACTTGTTTGGAAGGAGGATCAAACATCAAGAAAGGATCCTGGGTATTTGTATCAACAGTTGAGTCTTCCAATGCACTGCATTGTGAAGAAAATAAGCTACCAGAAGACCTCGCTTCCTCACTAAGGTGATGTTCCTGGGATGCCTTTGCTGATGTTACCGGGTTACTGCCGTCATGTAAGCTATCCTTCAATGATTCTAGGTTCTCCTCTGTTTTCTTAGACAGACCCTCTGTGGCAATGGCACTACGGCTGGTAGACTGAGAGGTTTCATTGGCTACTTTACCAAATAGTAAGTGTTGGAAGCAGGGAAGCTCTTCCTCCTCACTAGACACGTTCTCTTCTGAGAACTCTAACTTCCTGGTCCCTGGTCCCTGGCCCCTGTTTCGTGTTTGGTCTAAAGGGCTAGGGCTCCTTCTGAATTTTCCTTTCTGGACACTTTTGCTAAAAACAGCAGATCTTTCCCTATCACCACTTTCAGCAAAGCTGATGTTTCCCTTTATTTCATCACCATTTAATAGGTCATCAGGTGTCTCTGAACAAACCTGAGAAGCACGGCTACTTCCATTAGGTTGTTCTACATTATCGGAAATTAGACATAGGGTGAAATCTGCATTAACAGACTGAACTACTCCTTCATTTTCTCCTTGCTTTTTCATTTCTAGACGTTTACAATTATTTATAGGAAGGCACTGCTCATAGGCTTCAGGTTGCAAAAGACCTAACCTGCGCATAGTACTTAATTTAGATCCTCGGTTTCTACCCAGTTCTGTTTGAATGTTTTCACCACTGGAACCTATTTCATTAATACTAGAGCCTTCGTTAGTACTGGGACCTACTTCATTAACACTGCTTGAGCTAACTTCTTTAAAAGTGCTTTCTCTAATGTTATTTTGGCTAACTGTGCTCACTGTACTTTGAACGACATTCTCGTTTCCCACCATTCTTTCAGGTGACACTGAATGCTGCTCAAACTTTTGCTCCGACAGGTTTTTCTTACATACAGTGTTAACAGATGATCTGATGGGAGAAAGTGGTGGTATATGATAAGAGTTTGTGGAAACTCCAGGGTTATTTGCATCAAGGAGTTCAGTTTCATCGCCTCTGAACTGAGATGACTGACAAAGGCCAGAGACTCCTTTTTTGCTACATTTGCCATAATCACCTGGCTCCTCCGCTTTCTGAGTGACAGCAGAAAAGCCTGCAGTTGCACAAACTGCCTGCACATGCTTGATTTCAGTCTCTTTCTTTCCCTGATTTTCTTCTTTTGGTTCACATTCAAGAGTGACTTTTGGACTTTGTTTCCTTAGGGACCTGGAACTGGCCCAGACTGTTGCACATTCCTTTTCTGGATTTGAGAACAGAGCAAACGACTGACGTTTTGAAACCTTGAACGTATTATATAAATTCTGTGTATCAAGTTCACTCTCTTCCACTTCTATGCTTGTCTCTTGAGTGTGGTTATCTTCACGTCTCAGCAGATCTGTAAAACCCTCTGTGCCATTTCTAGTTTCTTTAGAACAACCATGGATAGGTTCCTTGGGGATTCCAATTGCTGCAAGCAGACTCGCACGTTGATTTGGTGCTGTTTTTGCCTTCCCTAGGGTGTCAGCTTCCAGTAAGGAGATACTATCCTGAGTGCCATAATCAGTATCAGGTACCATTGAAATACTGGTACTCTCTACAGACCTTTCAGTTTGCAAACTTTTTCCTCCACTCAATACCAGCTCTTTGGGATCCCTGGTACTATCAGACACATGAATCGTTCCCCGGCTCTCTTCTATTTCTTCTCTTCGAATGCTAGGGTTGACAAACTCTTGAAGTTTATTAGAACCTGAACAGTTAGTAAAAACCTCAGGTACGTTTGTTAAATTTAGCTCCGGAAAAGTGCTGCTGGCAAGTCTTTTATTTATCTGTTTATTTGGCTTGTTACGCTTCTTGTCTCCAGGTGCAAGTTCTTTATCTTCCACGAGTTGAAGTGCTTTGCTGTGTCTGACTGGCATTTGGTCCGAACTTTTTCTTTTCACCATCTCTTCACTGCTAGAACAACTATCGATCTGTAGTTCGGTATGATCAGGTGGGCTTGGATTTTTATTGACCACTAATTCCAGTGCACACACGTGCCTGGTAGAGGACTTCCTCCTCAGCCTGTTCTCCTTAGGTGCTCTTGAACTGTAGCTATTTAATTCTGATTCCATATTGCTTATACTGCTGCTTATCGGTTCGGCTTTGGTTCTAAAAGCAGATTCATTTTCCAATGATTCTGTTGGGTTAGCATTTTTCTCTTTCTGAACATAATCACCTTTTGTTCCATTCTCAGAACCATTATTTGTTATATTCATCACATGACCATTTCGCCCTATAGGGTCGGTTCCCTCAATTAGCTTTTCAGGAGTCTTTTGAACAATGGCCAAATCTACTTTCTTGATAAAATCCTCAGGATGAAGGCCTGATGTAGGTCTCCTTTTATGCTTTGTTTTATTTGTGAGGGGATGGGCTTGCGTTATCTGAGGTTCTATAGCACATGCTCCTATAATGAGATCTTCAGCTGTGTGGCTCAAGTTAGGGAGACTTGCCTTCCTTCGATAGGTTTTCCCAAATATTTTATCTTCAATATTACTCTCTAGTGGTTTGGTGTGGACTCTTTCACTTTTGCATATCAAAGCTTCATGAGGATCACTGGCGATTAAGTCTATTTTCTCAGAAGAACCAGAATATCCATCCACTTCCTTTGGAACTTCTACTGCACCAGCTACTCCAGTATTTGATTTACATCCTCCTTCGTGTGAGTCATCAGAAGTCAAAATTTCATCACTTCTGGAAAACCACTCATTAACTTTCTGTATGCTACTATTCAGTGTTATCCAAGGAACATCTTGGGAGTCTCTAGGACTGTCAGAGGATGGAGGTTTCTGCTTACTCAGTTCTTTTCTCCCACACAAGGGATCAGCATTCAGAACTATCTTTTTTTCTGTGCTGGGAGTCTGCCTATCATTACATGTTTCCTTACTTTCAGCCCATCTGCTTTGTTGGCTCCTTGCTACTCCAGGCTGTTTGCTTTTATTACAGAATTCAGTCTTTTCTACATTCATTCTGTCTTTAGTGAGTAATAAACTGCTGTTCTCATGCTGTAATGAGCTGGCATGAGTATTTGTGCCACATGGCTCCACATGCAAGTTTGAAACAGAAATACCCTGATATTTTTCTGGATGCTTCTCAGTTGCATGCTTCTCAGTGGTGGTCAAATCTTTATTACTGGATTGACGATGTTCAGTATTTGTTATGTCCTCAGAATATTCACAAGGAGCTGAAAGTATACAAAAACAACAAGGTGCTTAAAAACTGAATTATCACCAAAAAAATAATGTACTTCACAACTTTCAGGGTAGAAATAAAGGAACTGGCTATTTTTAGAGAAACTAACCTCATAAACCACCAAGTATATTGAAGATGTAGCTCATGTCCTTTCCCAGAATTCCTATTTATCTAGATTCTCTTTATCTCCACTTAAGACACTTAAAATTTTGATTTCAGAATTCTCCCTATTCATAAACCATACCTCCTATTTCTGTAACCTCTGACAATGAACTTAAAGCGGACTGGACATCAGACATACAATGCTCTGTTCTATCTTCAGACTCCTACTCCCTCTGCTTAAATACCAGTATACAAAAGATGAAATATAAACACACCAATTGAAAGTAAAAGGCAACAACCAGTTACATAGGCTACTATTATAATCACATCAGTCTAGTGCCATTGAAATAGATCAGGCTGCATGACATTTGAGAAAGAAAGATTTTCTAACTCTGCCAAGAGATGTTGTGAATTATAAATGTTCCAAATGGTCTTCAGAATAATCTAATTATAGTACTGAATCTACCCATTCTCTCTTCATTGCCCGTTAAGTTGAAAAGACTAGTCATTACCCTTTTTTGCAGGATTCAAACTGGCTTCTGCCCTGGCTCCTTGAGGGGTGATTCGTAACAATTCGTCGTCTCCCACACTATAGAGAAGAGACAGAAGCCGTAATGAGAAACGCTAGTTATATGATCACAGAGTTGTCAAATGAACAAGATCAAGTATTTTAGCTCCTCTAGGTACTACTGCAGTAAGCTGATCAATTTGATTCACTTTCTGACATTTGTGCTCTCCTTTAGTAACTTCTAGTCAAAATGAAATGGTCAAAGACTGAGGAAACACATTCACAAAAATCAGAGGAGTATCATAGATACATTGCTTTACGGATGTGTAAAAGAGAGACAAAATTTAAATGCTGGCCAAACAATAGCCAAAATATGGTAAAGAAAAAAATCCAACATCATTTAAAAGTGTATCTTGGGGTGCCTAGATGGCTCAGTCGGTTAAGCGTCCGACTTCGGATCAGTTCATGATCTTGCGGTTCATGGGTTCGAGCCTCACATCGGGCTCTGTGCTGACAGCCATCTCAGAGCCTGGAACCTGTTTCAGATTCTATGTCTCCCTCTCTCTCTGACCCTCCCCTGCTCAGGCTGTCTCTCTCTCTCTCTCTCTCTCTCTCAGAAATAAATAAAACATTAAAAAAAAATTTTTTTAAGTATATCTTAATGAGGGGCACCTGGGTGGCTTAGTTGGTTAAGTGCCTGACTTTGGCGCAGGTCATGATCTCACGGTTCATGAGTTCGAGCCCTGTGTCAGGCTCTGTGCTGACAGCTCAGAGCCAGGAGCCTGCTACAGATTCTGTGTCTCTCTCTCTCTCTACCTCTCCCCTGCTCGTGCTTTGTCTCTCAATAACGAATAAACATTAAAAAAATTTTTTAAGTGTATCTTATTGAGAACACATGAGCAAAGATATTTAAACACTGGGATGGAGTAGACATTCCAATAGAACGCAACACTGTCTCTGTGCTTCTTTTCCAGCTAAAAACCATTTCTTCCCAAGAGAGATTAGGAAAAAGTCATTTGCAAAAAAGATCTGATGATCACCATAGATCACCAAAGCCATCACAGATCTTAGAGTCAAGCAATAATTCCTACGGAAAGTAATTTGACAGGTAACCCAATTGGGGTGGCTTGAAGATTACTGTAGAATTTATGCAGACAAAGCTTGAGGGATGGATGGAATCCATCCAGGAAAAGAATTGAAAATTAAGTCCTTTAATATCTTCATGAGCCAAAATTACCACTGTGTCAATACTACTATTCAAGGGGGCGCCTGGGTGGCTCAGTCAGTTAAGCATCCAACTTCGGCTCAGGTCATGATCTCACGGTTCGTGGGTTCGAGCCCCATGTCGGGCTCTGTGCTGACTGCCAGCTAAGAGCCTGGAGCCTGTTTCAGATTCTGTATTTCCCTCTCTCTCTGACCTTCCCCTGCTCACTCTGTCTTTCTCTCTCAGAAATAAATAAAACATTGAAAAAAAAATACCACTGTTCAAGGAACTAAGTAAGACACTACCATGTCCATGGAAGCAAGTCTGATTGGAGTTGTTATTTTAAACTCTTTTGGACTCTACTAAGATAGGCTTTCTCAGCTATAAAAACAAACAACCATCAAGGTCTATTCCAATGCCTAATTCTAACTGAAAATACCAATCCTTAAAATTAATTAAATTCAAAAATGCCAGCTTCATAGACAAAAAAGGCTCTATTCAACTCACCTGCAATAACTTGCCTTAGTCACTGTATCTTCAGAAGAATCAGATCCTAAAAAATTCCCCAGATAACAAATCAATGAAAGGATTTTTATCGAAAGGACTAAACTCAATAAATGTACTTGTTGCAAAACAGATATTCATTCCAGAAATATTACCGCACACTATCTGCAAGATCTGCAGGCACAATGATACATATGGCAGCCAACACAGAGAAGTGGTTACAAGCACAGGCTCTGGCACCAGGATTCCTAAGGCTGAATCACAGCTCTGCCCCTTCCTTGTTAGTTATGTTATCTTGGCAAAATGTCTTCACCTCTGTGCCTTTGTCTCCTCACGTGTAAAATAAGTATAATAATATCAACAACCTCAGAGGTTAATCATGCATTTTAAATCAGTTATACAAGTAAAGCCCAACAGTGCCTGGACCATGGTAAGTAGTCCTAAATATTCACTATTATAGTTATTTTGTTTATTTTTATGACACAACATCTGATGTTTCGGAACTTCTGACCCTAAAACAGGAAAAGATTTACAAGTAATTTCAAGAGAATCTGGTGAGTGAGATGGTAAACATACAGTGGTGCTTGGGAGCTCGAAGAGGACCATTCTTTCCAATTATAAATACGTTCTAAAATATAAGACGATTAGAGACCTATTTGAACTGAGCTCAGCTTCTTAAAAGTCTTACTGGTCTAGTACAATGTATCTTGCACCCCTCTAAATGCTGTGGCCATCCCATCATGTTATTTCTCATCCCTATTCTCCATCCTTCCAAAGCATATTTACACATGCTATTACCAGACAGCCTTTCTTTTGCTCTTTTTACAAAATAAAACTCTTCAAGGTGAGAGCTACAGCTTTTACACTATTTAGAACACATCATAAGGCTGGAAAAATAATAATATTTTATTTTCACTTTCCAAAGCTCCCTGCCACTATATAAATTATGAGGCTTTCGGTATAACTGTAAGACAAATAATCCAGCAATTATTATTCTAAACTTACAAAATCTGTGTCACTTACCCAATTCAATGTAGACAGACTTATTCTGTGGTTGTATCTGCTGCTTTGTCCTCAGAGATCTCACAATTCCAAGGTTAGAGAGTTGGACACTAAAACTGGTTTCCTGCTAAGCAGTAAAGAATGATCAACTAATTGTTGGCCAGTCCTGTGTTTCTTTTCTTAAAGAGATACCCCAGGCCATGGACAAAATAGACCATCATAATTAGCTAACATTTGACACCTGGAAAAAACACTTGGCAAACTACACATCAAACTACACAAAAAAATGAGTTGTGCGTGTTTTGAATATTTTTCTCTCCCTCTGTTCTTATAAACTTTTCTAAACTGTTTTACCTATGTAATTTTTGAAGAAAACCAGATTTTGAAGCTAATACTTCATATTGTAGCATAAAAAGGGAATGAGCTTCATTTAGTACACATTCCCAATCATATCTGATAACAGGGTTATGAATAAAAATCCAGCAATCCTAAAAACATTCAGTACAGGAAAGGATATTTAAAAATCCAACATTACTCTGATGAAGCTTTCCTTCTTTTTGAGTCCTTAGACATCTACTAAAAAATGAATGCTGGTACCATGAGAACTATTTAAGATCTGCATTATTCATTCATATACAAGCAACAACAGACCAAATCACTGTATTTTCTCTGACAATTACACCTTTTAAGTTGTAGTAATTTTCAAATGGTAAAAATTGATTTTTTTTCCAGGCAACTTTTCAAAGGAAACAAACTAAAAGATACTTCCTCATGCCTGGAGAATTACCATTAAGATGGTTATTTTAAAAACTAGCAAGTGGTGTGCCTGGGTGGTTCAGATGGTTAAGCGTCTGACTTGGTTTTGGCTCAGGTCATGTTCTCATAATCTGAGAGACTGAGCCCCACGTTGGCTCTGCACTGTTAGTTAGCACATAGCCTGCTTGGGATTCCCTTACTCTTTCTCTCTCTGCCCCATTCTCTTTCTCTCTCTCAAAATAAATAAATAAATATTTGAAAAAACAAAAACAAAAAACCTAGCAAGCTTAAAACTTAAAACCATCAGTGACCTTGTGGCTAACTTAGACAAGCATCAGAACTGATAAAGCACTAAAGCAGGGGAAGGGCCCAAAAGGTCTCTCTTGCCCACACTAGGTATAAAGACTTTCTCTAGGCTCTTCTCTTGACCAACCAGTTAATTTATCACCCTTGTTTACTGACTTTTTATATAAATCCACAAGCATCTAGCACCTTCACTAACTCACAACACTCAATAAACAGATTTTACTAGAATAAATGAAAATGTCTTTACCAAGCTAGGGTTTTCAGGTTCACTCTGTCGAAGTCTTTTAGCACGGTTTCGATAGCCCATACTTTGGATAATAGACACCTCCTCCTTCAGACGCTCAGGAGAGCTATTTTCCTTTTTTGAAAAGTTATAGCTGTTTGCAACTGTGAATTACAAAGTAAAGTGTTATTTTTGTAGTTAGAAAAAATATAGTAATTGTATCCAAGAACTAAGAGAAATCCTGTGTATACTCTGTTTTGTTAAGACAATGCATTAAAGGTTACCTATCATTTTTTTTAATCAACTCTGGAAATTCTACTCTTAGGAAACACACAAAATTTAAGAGTTACTTCTAGTCTTTTTTTCTCTCCCTCAACACTAACAAATTTACCTATTAATACCATATTTCACTGAATCTAAGATGTCAACAATGTACCGCTTAGAAAACACACTAAATTAAGCAATAATACACCACAGGTGGTAAATTGCTCCCAATTTTGGAGACGCTAAAATGTGAAAAATGCATATCTCAGGACCTATAAAGTAAGGGGTGAGACCAGCGGAAACGATTTAAAAAATAAATCACAGATAAAGAGTTAAAGTTAACTTAGAGCCAAAGATCTTACTGCTGATTCACAAAAAATAATGTGAAAACTTCCTGAGTTCTAATGGACAGCCACTTGAGAACTGGCCCCTGGGGTTAGGCAACACTTACACTGCAATCCTGTGTCAAGCTCAAAAGCATGAATTATTTTCAACAACTCTTCAACAAGTTGACTAAATCTTGTACTTTCTTGTAAGCTTCTGAAATTAAATTGATTGAGAAACATACTCAGCAAAGGATGATCAACTTTTTAAGGATACTAAAACACGGAAGGACATGTAAACAAAAAGTAGATGTAGCAACAGTAGAAAAATTATATTCTGAGAACAGAGCTATCAGTGACATTACAGTATAATCAAACATCATCGACATCAGAAAAAGGTACGCAGCAGTATCGGTTGTTCTTTTCTCTTTTTTTGGCCATTCAAGCCTGCCAAAAGCCTATAACTATCTAAAATAATAGTACTCTGAATCCATAGTAGATATACATCTACGGCATAGAGAATTTCCCATTCTTAACACTTGAACCTCATCCACTCAACCTCCTAATTTGAGCTCTCAGGAATTTCTGTAATGTCCAAAAAGAGATTTTGGTTTAGGAAAGTTGTGGGGCAATATAATTTATTTATTTGTTTAAATATCTCTGTGACTACTATGTGCCAAACACTGAAAAAACAGGGTTGACTGAGACAGAAAAAGCCAGTGCCCCTAGAGAACTTACATTCTAACCAAACGGACCCATAACATGTATGTAAACACACTCTGTGTGTGTGTGTGTGTGTGTGTGTGTGTGTGTGTGTGAATAATTAAGTAGAAACAAATTCAGGGAAGAAAAATAAAAGCAGGACCAAGAGACAATGGGGGCAGAATAATATAGTCCCACTTTAGATAAGACTGCAAGATCTTGTGTCGTTCAGAAGCATCAGAAAGAAGCAATGAATTCCTAATACCTTTATAAGACAGAAATACAATAAAACTTTCAAGAAAATGACTTTAGAAATAATTTACTCTGTCAGCTGAATATCCGTTTATACATTTTTCTAGTGATGAATAGTTTAACAGGAACACCAACTATGTTCTTAAGGAATTTCTATTTTTCCCTGCCATTATTGCATCCAACCTCCCATCACTACCCAAATTAGATACCTTTTGGTTATATCATTCTTACACAAAGGACACTGTGAAGGCCCTTTCCTCTGGTTGAGAAGTTTCAGCATACAAAATCTATAAATTATAAAAAACGAAAAGAACAATTCAAGTTACTTTTTTTTGTATAGAGAGTATTCAAAAGGCAAATACCCATGAAAAGATAATCTCATGACTGCCCTTTAGAGCCATTTTCAAGGTAATGGCAGGTGAATTATAACCAATGGCTTTAATTGTTTTTAGATGCTGCATAAACAGAAAACCAAACTACATAAGCAATGATCTATGAAAACTGAACTTAACATGGATATGGCTTACTGTTATGATCAAATAAAACATTAAAAAGTTAATATGGCATATTTAATGATATATTCATAATTATATCATGCTGCATAATTAGATGTAAGTGGTAAATAGTTTAAGTAAAACAATTACAATTAGTTTAAAAACTCAGCACATTACTACAAAGCTATAGTAAATCAAGACAGTGTGATGTGGGCATAAGGACAGACATATATATCGATGAAACAGAATTGAGAGTACAGAAAAACCCATGTATCTAAGGTCAATTGATTTTCAACAATGGCACCAAGACAATTAAATAGAAAAAAAACAGTCAACAAATAACAACAAATAGTGCTAGGACAACTAAATACTCACATGTAAAAAGAAGCTAGACTCCTAACATATAATACAAAAAAATTAATTCAAAATGGATCACAAAATTAAATGTGACAACTAAAACTATAAATCTTTATGACCTTGAGTTAAGCAGTGATTTCTTTCTTTCTTTGAGAAAGCAAGAGAGACCTCGGGCGCACACCCATCTGAGCAGGGGAGGGGCAGAGGGGGAGAGAGAGCAGGAGAGGGGGAGAGAGAGCAGGAGAGCGGGAGAGGAGAGAGAGGAAGGGAGAGAGAGGAAAAGACAGGGAGGGAGGAAAGGGAGAGAGGAAGAGGAAAAGAGGGAGAGGGAGAGAGAGAGAGACAGACAGACAGACAGAAATCTTAAGCAGGCTCCACACTGAGTGTGGAGCCTAACACAGGGCTCAATCTCACAATGATATTTAATGTCACCCATGCACCCCAGCCATGATTTCTTAATTACACAAATAAACAAAGAAAAAATAGATACATTGGGCTATATCAAACTTAAAAACTTTTGTGCTACAAATAATACCACGAAGAAAGTAAAAGGCCAAGTCACAGAACAGGAGAAAATATTTGCAAATCATTTATCTGTTAAGAGACTTGTATCTAGGATATATAAAGAACTCTTAGAATTCATTAATAAACAGAGAAATAACCCAACCGAAAAATAGGCAAAGGATTTGAATAGAGATTTTCTCCAAAGGAGATATACAAATGGCCAATCATTATTATTAGCCATTAGGAAAATGCAAATCAAAGCCACAATGAGATACTACTTTACATTCACTAGGATGGCTGTACTCAAAAATAAGTACTGCAGAAGATGTGGAGAAACTCAAATCTTCATTTATTGCTGGTGGGAATATAAAACAATGCAGCCACTTTGGAAAAGTTTGGGGATTCATTAAAATATTAAAGAGTTACCACAGGACTCTCCAATTCTATGCATAGGTTTCTTCCCTGGAGAAATGAAAATGTAAGTCCACACAAAACCTATACACAAATGTTCACAGCAGCATTATGAGAGCCAAAAAGCAAAAGCAGGGGCACTTGGGTGGCTCAGTCGGCTAAGCATCCAACTTCGGCTCAGGTCATGATCTAGCAGTTCATGGGTTCGAGCCCCTTGTCGGGCTCTGTGCTAACAGCTAGCTCAGAGCCTGGAGCCTGTTTCAGATTCTGTATTTCCCTCTCTCTCTGACCCTCCCCTGCTCACACTGTCTCTCTCTCTCTCTCTCTCTCAGAAATAAAAAACATTAAAAAAAATTTTTAAAAAGGCAAAAACAATCCAAACGTCCATAACTGATAAATAAATAGACAAAATTGGTATATCCACACAATGGAATACTATTCAGCCATATAAAAGAACAATGTATTAGGGCACCTGGCTGGGTAAGCATGTGACTCTTAATCTCAGGGTTGAGTTTGAACCCCACAAACCTTTTTTTTTGTTTTTTAAATATTTACTTTTGAGAGAGCAAGATCAAACATGAGCAGGAGAGGGGCAGAGACGGGGAGGGGACAAAGGATCCAAAGCAGGCTCTGTGCTGACAGCAGAGAACCTGATACGGGGCTGGAATTCACAAACCATAAGATCATGACCTGAGCCGAAGTCAGACACTTAACTGACTTGTGCCACCCAGGTGCCCCTAAAATCTTGATTTTTCTTACTTTTTAAAAAAGTAGGTACCATGCTCAACGTGGGGCTTGAACTCACGACTCTGAGATCAAGTCATATGCTCTACTGACTGAGCCAGCCAGGTACCCCGAAAATAAAATCTTAAAAAAAAAAATACTGATACAGGCTACAATACGGATGAACCTTGAAAACATTACGTTAAGTGAAAAGAAGGCAGACACAAAAGGCCCAATATTGTATGATTTCATTTATATGAAATATCCAGAGCAGACAAATCTATACAGACAAAAGGTAGATTTGTGGTTTCCTGAAAGGAGGTAGGAGGCGGGAAGGGGTTAGCTGCTAAAGGGTACAGAACGTCTCTCTGGGGTGATGAAAACCTTAGACTGTGGTGAGGGTTGCACAACTCTGAATATACTTTTTTTTTTTTTTTTTATTTCTAGGAGAGAGAGAGACAGCATGAGCAGGGGAGGGTCAGAGAGAGAGGGAGTCACAGACTGAAACAGGCTCCAGGCTCTGAGCTGGCAGTCAGCACAGAGCCCGACGCGGGGCTCGAACCCACGAACCGCGAGATCATGACCTAAGCGAAAGTCGGACGCTTAACCGACTAAGCCACCCAGGCGCCCCTGAATATACTTTAAAAGAACACCCTGAACTGTACGCTTAAAATGGGTAAATTTTATAGCATGTAAACTATATTTCAATAAAAATGTTTAAAAACACTCAAGGCAGGGCGAAAATATGCTCATATTTTATATTGACAGATGTGGCATCTGGCATAACCAAGTTGCTCACTAGCAGTCTAAAGAAAGAAGGCAGCGCTAGCCTTCTAGGACAATTGGGTTCTTAGAGCGGCTCTGGAGAACAACTTTATTGGTTATCTCAGACAATGAATATGGCTAAGAGGACATGAACACATGCAACATATTCTAATAAATTTGCTTCCTTAAAACAAACAAACAAAAAAAACCTCTTCCCACTGACTGGTGGTGTCTGTAAAGATCAATGTTCCCTTAGGAAGAAGACAAAAGACTCAGAGGAAAGAGAGGTAGAAAGGAAATAAAGGAGGGTGAGCAGTAGAGATAGCTGTGGGAATGAGACTTAAAAGCAGGGGCTCACTTACACCGCTGATATTTACTGCGTGTCCGGTACTGTGCTAGATGCAAGGGATTCAGTGGAAAAGCAAAATAAAGTCCCTGCCATCATGAGGAACAGAATATTCTGGCAAAGGAGGTGACTGCGGGAGGGAGCAGACATTGGCAGTGAAAAGAACCACGAAAGAAAAGATTAAGGGAGCTGAAATGGCAGTGGGAACCAGGAGCCAGCAGACACAGGAAGTACTTCTTACTGGCCATGTCCTTGAACGTGTGGTGCCCTCTCTTAATCTACACAACAACCATGATGTATTATCTCCATTTTACAGCACAGACTTGTCCCCAGATCACACAGTAATCAAGTGGTGAAGGTGATTCTGGATCGGGACTGAATTGCAGCAAAGCCCAGGGTCTTTCTACCGGAGAAAGTGAATGTAGTAGGTGTGGTCGAGAACACCAGGGTCCTTCTTCACCTATACAGATGCTTAATGACGACTCTATAGTGTAGGGGACAGAGGTGTCAAAAAGCTACCTGTATTGAGTATAAATCCCCTTTAAAGAGCCACAGGCTAGGCTACCACTCGTTGAGAAGATGTAAATCCTACGTATACTCTACCATAACGGCCCTAGGAGGCATCAGTGAATTACACTGGCAATGGTACAATAAAACAATTCATAGTATGGGTAGGGAGGCAATTTCCTGAACAGAGTACTGCAGTATACAGTAGCTAAGCCATAGAGACAAGAAGCTAAGTTACAGAACTCTGTAGCCTGTACAATAATTACATAAATAATGCAGGGGAACTAGGTAAGTACAAATCAACTAAAATATAGGTTCCGATTTTTCCTTATGCTAGAAAAAGAACAGGTGCTTCGAGGTTGCTAACTAAACTCAAAAGAGAAAATGAACTTGGACATGACTTGAAAAGACTGAGTTAAGGAAAGTACCAACAGGCCAATAGAACATTGGCATATCTTTTAGGGCTGAGAAAGATTCATTAGAGTCTGTTTTAGAGCTCTGGGGAATCTATGGGATGCACCAGTTGAATGGGAACACATATATAAGTTCTGTATGAGGTTCTCAGTAAAAATGTGTGAGACAAGTTTGGGGCTTATTTTTTTAAGATTTTATCTAAAGTCATCTCCACAGCCAATGAAATTGGCTTGAACTCACAACCCTGAAACCAAAAGTTACATGTTCCACTGAATAAGCCAACCAGGCACCCCAAGTTTCTGGCTTCTTGAATTTCTAAAACCCAATGCTTAAGGAAAAACAATACATTTAAAAAAAATTTTTTTAACGTTTATTTTTTGAGAGAGAGACAGACAGAGCGTGAGCACATGATGGGCAGAGAGAGAGGGGGAGACACAGAACCCGAAGCAGGCTCCAGACTCTGACCTGTCAGCACAGAGTCCGACATGGGGCTCGAACTCATGAACCATGAGATCATGACTTGAGCTGAAAGTGGATGCTTAACCGACTGAGCCACCCAGGCACCCCAAGGCAATACATTTTGTTAAGCAAATGTAGTATGTTTTCTGAAGAGTGGCTTCAGATTTTTAAAGCTGATAAAAAACAGTAAAATCATAGTGGCACAAACTAATTTGGGGGACTTCCAGAGTACTCATTTCTGAGCACATCTATATCCTGAGCAGTTTAACAATGGCATGGAAATTCATATGGGGCATTTGGTGGCTCATTTGGTTAAGTGACCAACTCTTGATTTCAGCTCAGGTCATGATCTCATGGTTCATGAATTTGAGTCCCATCTGGGGCTGTGTGCTGTGTACATACCTATGCACACATTTTTTTTTTTTTTTTTTTTTTACAAATAGTTTATTGTCAAGTTGGTTTCCATTTAACACCCAGTCCTATGCACACACTCTCGAGCGCGTTCTCTCTCTCTCTCAAAATAAATAAACTTAAAAAAAAAAACCAACCCTCCTTTAATTTTGAGCTGTTGGTCCAACTCTATTCAGGCAGGAGGGAATAAATTAATAGTTCTAAATCTGGGCAAAATAAAGGCAGGATGACTTCTGGCTACCTTCAATTACTTTGGGTACCCTGGATTCCTGTTAACAGAGCTAAGATTATGAACCACTGTGGTCCCTAGTTAAAGGAAATAAAGACCCTGAGGGCTCACAACTTAGCATCTCAGCATCCATTTGTGTTGCTGGTCCCACCAAACCTTGTCAGTTTCTATAAGTCTCTGTCTTCTTGATCAAACCCCTTATTTGTATTTAGTCTCAGCAATTAAGAATCTATCTTGGGGGGCACCTGGATGGCTTAGTCGGTTAAGCGTCCGACTTTCGCTTAGGTCATGATCTCACGGTTCGTGGGTTCAAGCCCCACGTCGGGCTCTGTGCTGACGGCCAGCTCGGAGCCTGGAGCCTATTTCAGAGTCTGTATCTCCCTCTCTGTCTGACCCTCCCCTGCTCACGCTGTCTCTCTCTCTCTCCTAGAAATAAATAAAAATATTAAAAAAAAAAAAAAAAAAGAATCTATCTTGGGACGACTAGGTGGCTCAGTTGGGTAAGTGTCCAACTCTTGGTTCTGGTCATGATCTCACAGTTTTGTGAGTTTGAGCCCTGAGTCAGGCTCTGTATTGCTAGAGCAGAGCCTGCTTGGGATTCTTTCCTTCTGTCCCTCCCCCACTCACACTGTCTCTGTCTCTCTCAAAATAAATAATAAAATAAAACTTAAAAAAAAAATCTATCTTGAGCTCTTCCTCTGGAAGATTCTGCCCAGGTTCCTTGCCCAGTACCCTAGTCCCATGGGTCAAGGTTCTGGTCTCCTAGGGTCAGGAATCTTATCCCTAACTTTGAGCCTCCTATGGATGGATCCCTGCTACTTTTCTTCCCTTATAACCACCACTCTAAACTTGTGCTCATTTTTGCTCCTAGACTCCTGAGAGACCATGTTCAATTTACTTGCTAGATTATCCATCTCTGGCCTATTTCTGCATCTCTGACATAACCCATTGTTAAATTCCAGAATTCCCTGAAATCATGATCTAATGTATCTGGCCATCAAACCGCCCTGATACCAATTCACCACTTACCTGGATCTCCCCAATTAGCTGACACCAAGACTCGCCTTTCTTGGTCTATCTGGTCTTTTTCTTTTTTTTTTTAGTATTTTTTAACGTATATATATTTTTTTTGAAAGAGAGACAGAGCACAAGCAGGGGAGAGGCAGAAAGAGAGATCCCAAGTAGGCTCCTTGCTCAGCACAGAGCCCAATGAGGGGCTCGATCTCATGAACCATGAGATCATGACTTGAGCAGAAATCAGAGTCAGAGGCTCAACTGACTGAGCCACACAGGTGCCCCTAGCTATCTATAACTTTTTAAATACTGGGCCTTTAAAAAAATAGTTTATTTTTAAGTAAGCTCCATACCCAATGTGGGAATTAAACTCATGACCCTGAGATCAAGAGTCACATGCTCTGCAGACTGAGCCAGCTGGGCGTCCCTAAATACCGGGACTTTTAAATTTTGTTTTATGAAAATATCAATCTACAAAGAAATTAATTTTATATCACAATAGTTTGATAAGCTTCCCTGTTGTGGCCACAAAACTAAAACCCTCAAAGCAGAATGATAAGGCTGTGCTGCCTTGGCACCTGACAGGGAGAAGGGCCTGAGGAGTCAGAAGGAAACTCATGGGGGCAGATCTAGGTCAGTGGGGCAGTGTGGGAAAGCGGTGAAGGGCAATGGGAATGGGCTCTGGATCCCAGCTGGGACAGATGAATAGGAAGAATACAGCAGAATTCAGAGGAAGGAAGGGGCCGGCCAGCTGCTACACTTGAGTTGGCATATCCCTCCAGAGAGAACAGGTTTCTTTCAGCTTCAGCCAGCTGTCATTATCCTTAGCTCCAAAGCACTCCACATTTTTTAGGTTACGGAAACATTCTAAGCATCTGATGAAAATTATGGACTATCTTTCCTAGGAAACTGCACATGCCTATAGCTTTTAATACAATTAAACTTAAAACTGAATATAATTCTAAAAAATTCATGAAAACCATTCACCAATTCCAAGTTAAGAACTCCTGAATTAAAAAATTCCTGAGGAGACATCTGGCTGGCTCAGCTGATAGAGCATATGACTCTTGATCTTGGGGTTATAAGTTCGAGCCCCACAATGGGTAAAGAGATGGAGGGAAGGGGAAAACAGGGGTTTGCGGGTAGGAAGGAAATATGCATCATATAACCATTTGTGCTAGTAAACTCATTACCATGGAGATGGCTTGTTTTTCCGGTCAAAAAAGAAAAAAATACCCAAAACAAATTAGTTGGCATTCAGAGCAAGTCTCAATCACAGCTTAACAACAGGGAGGGGAGAGAACCCCCTTGTTCCACCAAATTGCCTACCAAACGTTTTCCCAAATTCTTTCATCAAAAAAACATTTTAGGGGAGCTTGGGTGACTGTTAGTTAAGCATCTGACTCTTGACTTAGGCTCAGGGTATGATCTCACAGCTGTGAGATCATACCCTATGTTGGGCTCCACACGGGGCATGGAGTCTCCTTAAGGTTCTCACTCTCCCCCTCCCCCCTCCCCTGCCACACTCATGCTCAAATAAACAAATATTTTCAAAAGGCAAGATCCTTAAAAATGTAAATATAATCTGAATAATTGGTATGCATGAATTTTGGCCTAAAAATAACCTGGTATCAGATCCTTTCCTATCTTCACAAGGATTATGAAGCAGGCAAACATTGAACCTTAGAAGGAAAAAGCAAAGGGACAAACAGAAAGAAATACCAGGAAGGAGAAAGAGGGAAAGCTAAAACACCATTTGCTTATTGCACAATTGCTTGCAATCGGCCTCCACCCATGGACACGAAGACAAACAGCTGTTCCAAATGATTTCACATCCCACCAGATAAATGTGCCAATATTTTCCCAAGAACTATGGTTACAACCAACTTCCAGCGACTTTCTAAGTACTCTGAGGGATAACGAAGCAGAGTTAGATTTTTCTTTTTCACTTAACTGAAGTAGCTAAAGCTTCTACAAAGTTAGGTATTTCCTGTGTTACGAAGAAGAAGCAGGGAGTCACATAAAACATTTGAACTTACTTGCAAAATATGTGATCACACTTTGTGGAAACAGGCTCTTTGATCAATTCCAAACTAGAAGGATACCAAAAAAAATAAAAATAAAAATAAATAAATAAATAAGAAACGAGGCTCAATAATTCATTTCAAAATAAGTATATTCTTGGTAAAGAAGTTCAACTTTAAGTTGCTGTAACTGAGTCTGAGATGAGGCTTTAAGTTCATTTCATAAATATTTATTAAATGTATGCTGTACTAGGAGCCAAAATACAGCAGAGAACAGGATCCTCACCCTCCTGAGCTTTCAGACATCAAAAGAGAATATATTACTCTACTCAACACTCTATACTATCTTATTATTATTATCTTTAGCATTTAAAAGATTAGCTGACATTGCTCCATTATTAATTAGTTTTCACTGATAGACTTTTTTGAGCTCTCTTTTTGGAGAAACATCCTATATCTTAACTAAACTTTAAGCTCTACAAAGACAAAAAACTACTTGTATTTCTTTTGGATTCCCTGACAGCACTTTTTTCACATTTAACTGCCTTTTTATTTTAAATTTATTATTTTATTTTAATTTAAAGTAATCTTTATCCAACATGGAACTCAAACTCAGGACCCTGAGATCAAGAGTTGCATGCTCTATGGACTGAGACAGCCAGGCACCGCTTAAATTCTTAATATGGAAAACTTCAAATATTTACACAAATAAAATAGTAAAATTAACTCCATGTACTATCACTCAGAACAACTTTCGACTCAAGGCCAATCTTATATACACACCAATACCCACTCAAGACCCAGATTTTTTTTTTCAAGTTTATTTATTCTGAGAGAGAGAAAGAGAGAGTAGGGAGGGGCAGATAGAGAAAGGAACAAAGACAGAATCCCAAGCAGTCTCCACACTATCAGTGCAGAGCCCAATGAGAGGTTCGAACTCACGAACCTACAAAATCTTGACCTGAGCCAAAATCAAGAGTTGATCACTTAACCAATGGAGCCACCCAGGCACCCTAAGCCCAGATTACTTTAAAATAAATTTCGGGGCACCTGGGTGGCTCCGTCAGTTAAGCGTCCGACTTCAGCTCAGGTCATGATCTCACGGTCCATAGGTTTGAACCCCGCATCAGGCTGTGCTGACAGCTCAGAGCCTAGAGCCTGTTTCAGATTCTGTGTCTCCTTCTCTCTTTGCCCCTCCTCAGCTCAGGCTCTGTCTCTCTCTATCTCAAAAATAAATAAACGCTAAAAAAAAAAAAAAAATTAAATTAATTCCAAGAGGGGTGCCTGGGTTGCTCAGTGAATTAAGCACCAACTTTGGCTCAGATCATGATCTCACAGTTCTTGAGTTTGTGCCCCACATCAGGCTCTCTGCTGTCAGCATAGAGCCCACTTCAGATTCTGTTTCCGTCTCTCTGCCCCTCCTCTGCTTACATGCATATACACACATGTGCTCTCTCTTTCTCCCAAAAATAAACATTAAAAATATTTTAAAATAAATTCCAGGAATCATTCATTACAATTATAAATATTCAGAACATATTTTTTAAAAGTTAAGATCTGGGTGCCTGGGCGCCTCAGTCGGTTAAGCATCCGATTTCAGCTCAAGTCATGATCTCACAGTTCATGGGTTCAAGCCCCGCATCGGGCTCTGTGCTGACAGCTAGCTCAGATCTTAGAGCCTGCTTCAGATTCTGTGTCTCCCTCTCTCTCTGACCCTCCCCTGCTCATGCGGTCTCTGTCTCTCTCAGAAGTAAATAAAACATTAAAAAAAAAAGTTTAAAAAAATTTAAAAAATAAAAGATAAAGATCTTTTCAGGATGGTCATGAAATCATTATTACTCTTAAAAAAATATTTTCTTTTGTATCATCTATTACATAATATTCCAATTTCTCTCACTTATCTCTTAAAATTTAATAATTAAATCTGTTTAAATCAGAATCCAAATAAGATCCATGCATTGCATTTGGTTGATATGTCCTAAGCGTCTTTTTTTTTTTTTTTAAATGTTTTTTATATTGAGGGGCGCCTGGGTGGCTTAGTCGGTTAAGCGTCCGACTTTCGCTTGGGTCATGATCTCGCGGTTCGTGGGTTCGAGCCCCGCGTCGGGC